GGATGACCCGCGTCATTCGAGGACGCGTCGGCGATGCTGCGCCCGCATCCCCGGGCCGAGTCCAGCGCGCCTCCCCGCCTGGGCGCGCTCGCACCGCGAGCGCTCTCCCTCCTGGAGGGAGGAGAGTAGTATGCATATGGTGCAATTTTGGAGTAGGACCCGGGAGAGAGCTCCGCGGGCCTGCCCGTGCGGGCGAGGGAGCCAGCGCTCGGGCGTCCTATTCTCTGTGCTTTTGTCGGTCTCGCGCGAGGTTCCTTCCCTTTCGCTCGGTTTTTTTCGGTTTTTCGTTTTTCGGTTTTTTGTCATTTTTTTGTTTTGTTTTTTTCCGGTTTTGTCGGTCTCGCTCCTTTTTCGTGCTTTTTTTCGGTTTTCGGTTTTCCCATTTTCGGTTTTTGTGCTTGTTTTCGGGTTTCGGTTTTTTTTCGGTTTCGCTCCTCGAGGGCCCTCGCCGAAAGAAAAAAATGCACACGTCCGAGCGATGCCAAAGGGGGCGGGGGCCTCGTGCGGCGAGGGAGCGGGCCCAGCCTCGGAGCAGCCGTGCCGCGCCGGATTGGCGCTGCGTCTGACGCCGCAGCGGGCGCCGGGCGCGCAGAGCCCCGCCCGGACGGGAGCCGCTCTCAGAGCCCCGAATCATCAGGGGTAACTCGGGTCAGGGCTAACTCGGGTTCGTTTTTCGGGATTCCGAACCCGAGTTACCCCGGACCCGAGTTACCCCGGATAATTCGGGCGTCCAGAGCCCCAAATCATCAGGGGTAACTCGGGTCAGGGCTAACTCGGGTTCGTTTTTGCGGGGATCCCAACCCGAGTTACCCCGGACCCGAGTTACCCCGGATAACTCGGGCGCCCAACGCTCGGGGTGGACAGGGCCCCCAACAGCGACACGTCGATGAGTGAGTTGTCCGTTTTTTCGGCTCTCGAGAGGGCGCCGTGGCCGTTCTTTTCCAGGCTGGCGCCCGCCAGGTTTGGGCCTCGGGTCGTTTTCGCTAAACCACGCTTTACTAAAGGGGGGTCTGTCCATCCCCGAGCCGCCTTCACTCAAGCAGGCGCTGTGCGTTGGCGGGCTGCCTGCCGTCACCTCTGAGGACGGCCCCTGCGACATCACAAGTTCGGCAAGAAGGTGCCCCTCATTGGTGTGGCTGTTGGGGGGCCTCTCAGGCAAGGGTGCACGGCGCCCAGGCGAGGCCAACATTGGACAACCACCCCCTTCCACCCGGGCGTTTTACAGACGGGTGCGCGTGGCGCCAGGGCGGCAGCCACAATTTGAAACACGGCCCCACGTGTAAAGATATTGCGTAGTCCGGATGTGCAAGATCTTCGGTAAGAGCAGCAGCAGTGAACACGCCCCGCCTCCCAGTCTGTGTAGCTGTTGGGTCCGTGGGCGACTTGTCGGCGTCCGAGGCGTCGTCGACCGAGTATGCGCGGCGCAAGAGCGATAACCGCATATTTCAAAGCAGTTCGTTTTCCGTCCATGTAGTTTTACTTTCGGGGCCATACGTTTTGAGGACGTCTCTAGCGGACCGGCAGCCCGCCGTGATAGTGTGTGTGTGTGCCTGGCTGTGCGGCGATGGCAAGTTGCTCGGCAAGGGGAAGGGGTGGCGGAGGAGGAGGAGGAGGCGGCGGGGGAAGAGAGGTGGAGGATGAGGAGGAGGAGGAGGAAGAGGCGGAGGAGGAGGAGGAGGAGGAGGAGGAGACGTGAAGATGTGGGATATCAAATAGAGGAGGAGGAGGAGGCGGAGGAGGAGGAGGAGGAAGAGGAGGAGGAGGTGGAGGAGGAGGAAGAGGAAGAAGAGGCACGAAGGAGGAGGACGAATGAGGGAGTAATGTGGAAGAGGAGTAAAGAGATATACATATATATATAGAGAGAGAGAGGCGGGACATGAGTAGGGATGATGATGAGAGAGGGGGATGACAAGGGAGAGGGGATGGAATTTTAGATATCCTAGCCGTGAGAGCACTAGAAAGTAATCCTCGAACGCCTCAGTTTGAAAGACCAGTCACGGTGCCACCTCGTCAGGTGTGCCGCTTGGAGTCCCCGCGAATCAAATCAATCAAGCGGAACATCCGTTTTAGGAGGTCGGCCATCAAGAGTATTAGCGCTGGCACTTCCAGGACCTTCCCCCAGCTTGCCTATGCAACAGCGCTGAAGTTTAGGTTCGAGCCTCTGGGAGCAATGACGCCCCACACGCACGGCAGACAAATGCATGGCCCACTGCGGTGCACGCGTTGCCCCAGGGAAGCGGAACCTTCCCCAACCAGGAGTCCAGGCACCGAGGCCGCCCCTTCCCCAAGACCACCGGACCCCGAGGACGCCCTTCTTCCTTCTCCGCCTCCTCCTCCTCCTCCGCCTCCTTCGCCTCCACCTCCGCCTCCGCCTCCCCAGACACGGGCCCCAAGACCACATCGGCAGCCGACTAATCAAATTGGATGGCCTCGGGCCTGGGCTGGGGATCGGCTCCTGAAAACTTCCCCTGTCACCGAAGGCCAGTCTGGCCCCGGTGCGCCGAGGCGGGGAAGAAACACACCGACGGCCATTGCCCATGGTGGGCACGCGTCTCGTGGTCGCAGTCTTAGCCTTTGCTAAGCACACCCTGCACGCGATCATTCCTCCTACCTCGTGCCTTAACGGTCGCCGACAACATCCAACTGCTCTCCTACCAAGTCCTTCTGTGCCGCACTTCGGGCCGCAGCCCAGCCGAACAACTCAAAGTTGATACGCTCACCGTCAGCCTATCAGGCTCATCCCGGTCGTGCACGTCAGAAACTGCACGGCCCGTCGCTCTCAGGCGAAGACATCGGCCAATGCATTTCCGAATTTCCATTCGGTCGGACCCTCCTGGCTAGAGACATCGTCTTCCAGGCTCAAGTCCGTTGGCACCCAGTCGAACGACGGCTGAGACCTACTGGAATATTACATTTTGCTTTCAAATATCAGCAGGACACCCGCACGCCACGGTGTGCCGATTGGACCATGTATCCCCCTCACGCACATCCCACAGCAGGTCGGACACACAGAGCTCCATGGGGGGCATGATCTGGAGACGTCAAAGCAACGCGTGCCTCTCAGACCTGCCGCCAGACTGCACAGCGCCAGGCAGCGGCCTGTAGGCAGCCATGACTGGGAGACCACCATCCCCCCGGAAGGAGGAAGGGGGGGGAGGCGGAGTTGGGCAGGAGGGGGAGGAGGAGGAGGAGGATGAGGAGGTGGAGGAGGAGGAAGAGGAGGAAGAGAAGGAGGAGGAGAAGGAGGAGGAGAAGGAGGAGGAGGAGGAGGAGGGGGAAGGGGAGGAGGATGAGGGGGAAATGGAGCAGGAGGATCTGGGGCAGGAGGATGAGGAAGACGGAGAGAAGGAGGAAGAAGATGATGAGGATGATAAGGGAGAGGAGGAGTACGGATAGGAGGAGGAGGAGGATGAGGAGGAGGAGGAGGAAGACGTCTAAATAGAAGGGTTCAAGAGAAGCAGGAGGAGGAAGAGAAGCAGGAGGAGGCAGAGAAGGAGGAGGAGGAGGAGGAGGAGGAGGAGGAGGAGGAGGAGCGGCAGGAAGGCGGGATGGAGGAGGAGGGGGAACCCGCTGAGCCCGTGAGCGCGGGCGGTGCTCCGCTGGTTCAATGGGGGGTGCTCGCGCGGCGGTCTGGGAGCTGGCGAGCCGTGGCCAGGCTGGCGGTTGAAGATCCGGAGTGCGGCGCCGCCGTGCGGGCGCCGCACTCTGGGTCGGCTCCGTGTCAGCGCCGCATTCCGGGTCCGGGCCGCGCCGTGCTGGCGGTCCGAGCTGCTCTGCCACGTCGGCCTGTCTGCACCGACCCCGGCCAGACCCGTCCTGGGCCAGAATCCGTGCCCCCCCACCTCGAGGTTCGTGGGGCCCCCGGGTCCAAGCTGGCGGCCAGGACGTCGGCGCTCAGGGCCTCCTTGTCCTCGGAGTCCCCGGCGGAGGAAGTCTCGACGCCCAGGGCTGCCGAGGGAGCGTCGCCACGCGGGCGCCGCCGGGCAGAGGCCGAGGCCGCGCGCCCGCGGGCAGCCGCTGCAGCAGCCGCGCTCGGGCAGGCGAGCTGGTGAGGCAGCCCCGCGGGCAGCCGCCGGGGCACGAGGCGCGGCAGCGGCCTCCGCTGCCCCTGCGAGGCGGGGGGGCGCACGGCTTCGCGCAGCCGCGGCGTCGATGGCGCCCGGGCCGCCTCCACCAATCTGGACGCCCGAAATGGGTACCGAAAGAATGGGTACAATGCCCAACAGCAGTTCCTGTTCATTTTGAACAGGCCTCGCTGTCCACGCCGCCGCGGCTTGTGTCCATTCGAGACAGGAGGCCGCCTGCCCAAGAGCGGCCGCTGTTGGTTTGGGACAGCATTTGCTGTTGGGCATCGTCCCCATTTTTTCGGTGCCCATTTCGGGCGTCCAAAACCAAGGGCGCGGCCTCCTTACGGCAAGAGGCGGCGAGCTTGTCCTTTCGGCAGCAGTGCCGCAGCGTCGAGGGGGAAGTGGGTCAGCCGCACGCAGTCGTGTTTTTGCTCGGGCTCGCTGCGGGAGCAGGGGAAACAGCCGAGGTTGCATCAGCTTGGCCGGGCATGAAAGGATCGCCGCCAGAGCGTGACAAAGGCCAGTCCTAGCCTGGTGCTGGTGGCGCTGGGGCTGTGCCGCGTCTGCCTGTGGCACCGCATGGCTGCGCGGAGGCGCCTCCAGGCAGCTCGTGCCGCGCCTGTGGCGCGCCGCTCGAGAACGGGCGCGGCGCGGGGAGGCGCGGCGTGTCCTCGACGCGCAGCACGGCGTCAGCTGTGCAACACCCAATTGTTCGCCTGACGCCGGGTGGGGTGCATCAGTTTCAGCTTGACGGCCCTCCAGGGTTCATTCTGCAGACCCGACCCCCCAGCCCTACCGTCAACCCGCATAGTACGGATGGGCGACCTTCCCAAGGCTACCGTTGCATCTTGGCCGCTTTCGCTGGCCGCGCCCCGCTCGAAAAGCTTCGAGATGGGCCTTCCAACGCCCTTGCATCCTTGTCGCGCATCCTTCCTATCCTGGTCGACTGTACTCTGCAGACCTGACCCCCCAGCCCTGCTCAACTTCTCCCTGCTGGGCCGGGGGGGTCCGTCCCGCCTGCAGGACCAGCTCGGTGCCCACAGCGGGGCGACCGAATGAGGGCTGCGGCGCGCGGTGCGCGCGCCTTGGAACCCGCACCGAAAGGCTCGAAAGGCCCCGCCGGCGCCCCTCGGGCGCGGAGCCCGCCGAGGAGGCCAGCGCCGCCCGGCGGGGCGGCGGGCTGGCGGTGCGGGCGGGCGGCGCGCGGGCTCGAAGAGCGGCCCGCCTGGGGAGAGCCCGAGGGAGCCCGAGCCACGGATTTTACGAGGGCGTTCGGGCAGGTCGGTTTTGAGCTGTGCTTTCGGCCTGCTGCTAGCTGCTCGACTTGACCTCGTGCTGTGGAAGGCGTTTGAGCCGCGTGGAGGTCCTCGCCCGTTCGGGTCCCCGACCGCCCTCGACGGCCCAGGAGGCCTCCGAGATGGCTCCAGGCCCCATATCATAGAGAGGCCCTCAGAAAAGGGCCCGACGCTGGCCCCGGAGAGGGCCCGACGATCGCCCACTGGGGCCCGCCAGTGGGTGCCTGCGCGCGCCGCCTGCGCGCCGCGGTCGGGGGGAGGAGCTCGGCGGGGGCGGCGGGCGCCTGCAGGAGAGAGAGGGGGGGGCCTGTCTCCTGGTGCGCGCGGGGAGGGCGATGGAGGGGGGTGGGGGGCGGGAGGGATTCTTATGAGGCTGGTGATGTTGGTGATGTTGGTGATGGTGGTGATGGTGAGGATGAGGATGATGGTGATGCTGAGGAGGATGATGCTGATGATGATGGTGATGATGATGATGGTGGCGACGGTGATGCTGTGATGATGATGAGGATGATGATGATGGTGATGATGATGATGGGGATGGTGCTGATGCTCATGCTGATGCTGCCGATGACGAATATGCTGGTGCTGCTGATGCTGATTGTGGTCATGGTGGTTGGGATGGCAGTGGCCACCATGAGGGTGGTTGCGATGATAATTGCGGTGATGCTGCTGCTGATGATGATGATGATGATGATGATGGCGCCGCTGATGATAAAATCAATCATGGTGATGTTGATGACGCTGACGACGATGATCGTAATCATGATTAACGTGGTTAACTATGATGATGGTACCGATGGCGACGATGATCATGGTGGTGATGATGACGCTGATGACGATGATCGTGATTTTGATGCTTACGTTGATGCTGATGTTGGCCACGATTGGGATGTCGATTGTGATATTGAGCGGATGATTGCGAGGAGGAGGCAGAGGGGGGGTATGAGAATGCTGATGATGACGTCGTTGATGATGATGATGATGATGATGATGCTGATGATGATGATGATGATGATGATGATGGTGTTGCTGAGGATGAGGGTGGCGCGGATCGCTCGGATGCTGGTGGCGTGGCACCGGTGACGATGATGCTGTTGCTGATTATGATGATGGCGGTGGTGCTGATGATGATTGCGATGCTGATGATGATGCTGATGATGATGATGATGATGATGCTGATGATGCTGATGATGATGATTGTGCTGGTGCTGGTGATGCTCATGGCGATGATGATGGCGATTGTGATGATGACGAGGAGGAGGAGTAGGGCCGTGACGATGAGTGAGAAGACGTACAGGCAGGACACTGAGGAGGAAGAGGGGGAACACGAGGACGAACGGAAATTGAAGTGGTTCTGGATGTCGCTGCTCCCTCTCGTCTTTTTCTTCGTCGTCGGAATCATTGTCCCCGTCCTCCTCGTAAGTTTTGTTTGTTCTTATTGGTCGTCTTCGTCCGTATCACATTTTTCGGATCTGAATGCACATTCATTCGCCTCGCACCTTAACCCGTTTCGCCATCGTTTTTATATTTGTCCCACAGGATGTAGAACTTCTTGACGCTTCGCGTATCCCCACCAGCCCATCCTACACCAGGCACTCGAAAGAAGAGCGCCGATGATCGGCAGCTGTTCTCCTCCCCTTCTTCCTCCTTCTCCTCCGCCTTCTCCTCCTCCTCCCTTCCTCCTCCTCCTCCTCCTCCTCCTCCTCCTCCGCCTCTTCCTCTTCCCTGGTGGCGTCTTGGAGGTATCTTCGAACGTTTTGGTGGGCTCTTGGGCCTCGCGGGCGGGCGGGCGGCGCTCCGCCCGCCCGCGCGCAGGGCGCAAGAGGAGAGTCCGAGACGTCTCTTGCGGCCCTCTTGGAGGACATCGATCGCAGAAGGGGGAAGCATTTTTTAGCGGCGCCCCCCTGGGGGGCACGATCCTCGTGAGGGGTGTCGAATTTTAGCCCTCCCAGGGGTCGTTCTTGGACGCTCTAACTACCCGCGGCCCCCCCTGTCCAGGTCAGTGGGGAGGGGGTAGGGGGAGGGGTAAACCCCTCCCCGAAGGGGAAGAAGAAGGGATGGAAGAGGAAACGCTCTAAACCACCGACGCCCAGAGGGCTGGTGGGATAACTAAGGTGACGGTGATGATGATATTGGTAAGCATGATGGCGATGACCTCAGCATCAATACCGATGTTGAGTTTCTGTATATGATGGTGGGGATGGTGCTGATGGTTGTGATGATGTTGACGGTGATGTTGAAGACTATTCTCATACGCACCTCTCCGAGGGAGTAGAGCTCAGAGGGGATGAATGCGTCCGTGCGTGCGTCCGTCTTTGATTTTAATGGCCGTTTCGCTCGGGACATCCTCGAAATTCTGAAAATCGGTGGCACCCCTCACGCAGATCGTGAAGGAGAGGTCCAACAACACATATGAATTTCAACATTTTAACATAAAACCTTCAAAACCACATTGTAATTTCAATAATTTTGACCCCGATTCTCAGAGAATGGCGGTTTCGCCTGAGACATCCTCCCAAAATCGAGCCCCAGACCCCTCCTCGGAGCCTCCTGGGGGCCTCCTGGAACCTCCTGGGGCCTCCTGGGGCTTTCTGGACCTTCTGGTACCCCAGACCCCGCCTCGGAGCCTCCTGGAGTTCTCCTGGGCCTGCTGAGGCCGCCTGGGGCCTCCTGGGGCCTCCTGGGGCTTCAGAACTACATGCACACACAGAGACACAAATCACGCCCAACACATCACACGCTAGACAAACATAACATACACACACAACACCGACAACACGCAAAAAGCACGCACCACACAAAGCACACATCACACACACAACACTCACAATCCTGGGGCCTCCTGGAGCCTCTTCTGGTATCCAAGTCGGGCCTCCTGAGGCTTCCTGGGGGGCCCTGGTACACACATCGCAAGGTGTGGCAACCCCACTTGCGCTCGAGTGCGACTTCGCTGTTGCATGTCACTCCTGCTTCAAACGCCCCTTCAGCTTGTCGTATGAGCCTGGGCACACACGTGCCACTTGTTATGATGATGATGAAGTGTTTGTGCTGACGGGCAGGAGGGTCATGATGATGAAGAGGAGGAGCATTTGGAACATGGTGCTGATGCTGATGATGATGCTGATGATGATGATGATGATGATGATGATGGTGATGGTGGTGATGATGATGATGATGATGATGATGATGATGATGATGATGATGATGATGATAAGGATGAGGAGGATCATGATTATATGGATGAGGGTAGCAGAAGGGGGAGGAGGAACAGGGGGAAGGTGATGAGGAGGACGAGGAGGAGGAAATTGCGAGACTGCGGGGTTTCATCCTCGGCCGCTTGTCGGCGGCGTCGTCATCGTCCGCATCTGCATCCTCCTACTTCATCGCCCCACTCACCCCCGACCACCACTTAACCTCTGTTTTTATCCTTCCTCTCTTCCTTCCCGCCTCCCCAGTGGGAGTGAGGGGAGGTACGGGAGAGGAAGACATGAGAGAGGAAGGGAGAAAACGGGATGAAAGAGCAGAGAGCATGGTTGGGGGTGGGAGGGAAGAGGGGAGTGCGGGAGGAGGAGGAGGAGGAGGAGGAGGAGGAGGAGGAGGAGGAGGAGGAGGGAGGGAGGAAAGGCGAGAGCGAGCGAGGAGGGGTCCGATCCTACATGTTGAAACTTGAAGGGGTGGGTCGCCTCCCCCCCCTCCTCTTCCTCCTCCTCCTCGTTCCCTTTGCCTCGTTTTCTGGTGGCGTGCCCCTGGTAGTGGGGCTAGCGGATGTCCCTGACACAGATGAAGGCGGCCGCGGCCAGCATGGGCGCCGGCGACATCTTCTTCGACTGGGACTGCGCCAGGCCAGTGGCGCGGGCAAACGCCCTCGCCGCCCCGCGGGGGCGACGCCAGCGCTGGCGCTCAGGGTCGACTGCGCGCAGGGGACCCTCCTGCGGGCCGTGGCAGACAGCCCACCGCGCGACCTGGGCACCCGGGCTAGCTCCTGGTCGCCCATGGCAGGAGCTCTTCAGCTTCGAGGTGTCAGGATGTGCTCGTTGGTTCTCTGCGGCCTCCCAGCCTCGGGGTGCCTTCCAGCGGCTGCGCCTCGCCGGGAGCGTTCTGGGGCTGCCCTGCTCGTCTCGGATGGCCACAGGAGGCTCGAAAACTGGACGACGAGGATCACTGGTGGGGGGTTAGGCTCAGTTGGAAACGCGTCGACTCCGACTCGCACATTCATCGCCGATGGGGGCCCGATAGTCCACTCCCACGCAGGACCGTGCGCATTTTCTGTCTGGGGCCTAAAGCCGACCTATCGGCGACCCTCCCTGCCCTGCCCGCCAGAGGGGCGAGCCCCGGCCCCGCCCCGAGGTCGGTGGAGGGCTACTTCAGGACCGCGCGGTCGCGCCGAGGGGGGGGATGGAGGAGGGTGGAGGAAAGGAGGGTCGGGGAGTAAGGAGGAGGGGGGAACGAGGGGGGAGGGTCGGGGAGGAAGGAGGGAGGAGGAGGAGGAGGAAGAAGGAAGGAGTAAGGAGGAATGAGGACGGAGGAAGGAAAGGAGGATGAGGACGAGGAAGGTGGATGATGATGAGGAATCAAAAATGAGGAGGGAGAAGTCGGAGGAATGAGAGAGCAGGAGGGAGGAGGAGGAATAGGAGGAGGAGGTGGAGGAGGAGGAGGTGGAGGAGGAGGAGGAGAAGGAGGAATGAGAGATTTTGAGGTCTGGAGTTGAATGAGGAGGATGAGGAGCAGCAGCATGAAGATGATGATGGTGATGTTGATGATGGTGATTATGATGATGCTGACTGTGATGGTGATGGTGATGATGATGATGATGCTGGTGATGGTGATTGAGATGATGGTGATGATGGCGATGGTGACTTAATTCATCATCATGATCATGATGCCGTTGATGGTGATGATGCTGATACTGCTGACGATGATGATGATGAGGATGATGATGATGATGATGATGATGATGATGATGATGACGAGGATGGTGAGGCTGATGACGATGACGATGATGATGATTATGATGATGCTCAGATGGTGATGATGCTATTATGTTGATGACGATGATGCTGCTGCTGATGAGGATGATGATGCTAGTGGTGGTGGTGCTGCTGCTGCTGCTGATGATGATGATGATGATGATGGTGACGGTGGTGACGGTGGTGGTTGTGGTGTTGGTGGTAATGAAGCTGCTGCTGCTGATGCCGACGATGCTGCTGATGCTGATGCTGCTGCTGATGATGCAGATAATGAAGATGATTCGCATGATGATGATCATGATGACGATGATGATGATGATGATGATGATGATGATGATGATGACGATGATGACGATGCTGACGATGGCGACGATGGTGATGATGATGATGTTGATGATGATGATGATGATGATGATGATGATGATGATGATGATGATGATGATGATGATGATGATGATGATGATCGTTAGTGTGGGACAGGGGCAGAAGGGGGGATGTGGAGTGGGGAGAATGAGGAGGGGACACGAGATGGATGAGTAGGGGGAACCTTGCGACGCAAACGAGGTGGTGATGGTTATGAAGGTAATGGCGGCGGCTATGATTGTCAGCGATGTTGAGGATGATGTCAACGATGTTGATGAGGACGTTCATGTGGACGGAGGATGCTCGTGATGAGGAGAGCAATTCTGACGAGGACGAACAATATAAGCATGAGCAGGCGGATGAGGAGCAAGCGGACAGTTCTTCGGGATTGCAAGAACACTTTCAATCACGCGCAACCTCCCTTCGATTCATTTCGGAGCGATGCCGCTGGAGCTGTCGGCAACCAGCCGGGGAGTCGCAGCCGACGCGGGAGGCGAGGCACCTCCGACCAAGCGGCGCAAGCGAGAATCCAGTGACAGCGTGGAATCCGCAGAAGAGACGATGGCGTCCAAGCTCGAGCTCGTCTCGTCCTCACACGACTCGCATCTGCCTTCGCCGCGAAAAACTTCGGGAGCTGGTCAGGATGCCGTGGCAGGCGGTCCTCATCAAGTCCACGAGCCCCACGGCAACGCAGACGAAGAGACGGCAGGCGCAACACACCGCAGAGAGCTACGCCGATGCTGCAGGACAACCACCTCTCAGGAGGGTACAAAAACAAACACACATTCAAATAATCTTCGACTTCCAGGAAAATATGGGAAGATATGGGAAGTGGGTGGGGGAAGACGAAAACCCGGAAAGTACGGACAGATATGGGTGATCCTGGGATTCGTGTCCACTTATCGGTGTGTCCCAGGGCCCCTTCGAACTCGTGCTCGACACCCTGGAGGTGCCGTGCGTCCACGTGTTCTCGGCCAAGCTGCAAGGGATCACCAAACCTTGACGTGGCTCGGCCGCAGAAGGAGCAGCCCCGGACCCTCTGGAACAAGAAGGTGGAGGACAAGATGGCTGTGGACATGCAGCACGGAGTGCTTCATTGTTGTTCGAAGCCCGCGAAGAAGATGACGACAAATAATAATAATAATGCTAGTAACAATACTAATAATAATAATATTAATAATAATACTAAAGATACTAATAAGCGTACTAATAATAAATAAATGAATACATACATACATAAATACATACATAAATAAACAAATAAATAAATACATGAATACATACATACATAAATACATACATACATACATACATAAGTACATACATAAAGAAATACGTAAATACTAGTCATAAGAATAATGCTAATAAAAACAGGAATAAGAATACTGACACGAACAAGAAGGAGCAGAAGGAGAACGGCGGGCAGGTCGAGGCCACGAAGATCGTCTTCGAACTCAGTCGCAGCCAGGGCGGTGGAGAAGACGCTGATGCCCATCTTCAAGCGCAGCGAGGGCATCTTTGAGAATGGGCCCGGCTCCTGATTTGGGCCCCTCGCTCGAGCAGCGCAGCAGCTCCTGGGCGAGCGCGAGGAGAAGCGCGCCACACTTCCTGGACGGGTGCGAGAAGAAACGCGCCACCTCAGAGCGCTTTTGCGATTTTGCGCAATATTCCTCGTTGCGAAAAAGCAAGCAACGCTTAGTCGATTTTATGTTTATTTTTGTGTTTATTTGGCGTACGGTTACGTGTTCACCGACGCCTGTCGAGACGGACGCATGGCGAGAGATTGTTGGCGCCAGAACCCGCTTCTTTGTTGCTTGGGGCACGACGGGCGTCATGGCCCCCGCCCGCTCCCTCGCCCCCTCCCCCCTTATGACGTGACGCTCCCCCCCCCAGTGCGCTCCGGGCACTGTCGCCGTGCGTTTTGGGATCCGCGTAGGTGTCCGCGTAGGAATCCGCATAGGAGTCTGGTCCGCAGTCGTCGTCGTCGTCGTCGTCGTCGTCGTCGTCGTCGCTCGTGAGTTGTCGCTCGTCGCTCATAGTCGTCGTGCGCGCGGGCGCGGCTGAAGCCTGTTTTGTGTTCCGGGCTGATGACAGCAATCATCTGGGGGGGGGCGGAGGGGGTCGATGTCGTCGCGTTTCGCGCAGGCGGCGTCTGGGAAGCGTAAGAATGACGGAGGACGGGTAGCGCCAGCATGTAGGTGGCGATTTGCACCACAACGCCTGTGTACACCACAGTGCCTGCGTGCACCACAGCGCTTGTGTACACCACACCGCCTATGTAAACCACAGCAACCTCGTGCAACACAGCGTCAGTTTGTGCCACCGTGCCTGCGGGCACAACAGCTCTTATGCACACCGCAGCGCTTGCGTACACCACATGAGCCGTGTGCAACACAGCACCAGTGTGCACCACAATGCCTGCGTGCATTGCAGTGCCTGTGTGCACCACGGCGCCCGTGTGCACCACAGCAATTGTGTGCTACACAGCGCCATTGTTGTAGATCGAATGTTTTAACGAATCCTTCTGACAAAATAGAGCGTGTGTGGATTCCACGAAAAAAAAAATAGAAAATTATCTTTATGGACAACGGAGCACCGTTGGATTCTACGAGTCCTCCCAAGTCCGCCCGCATCACCCTAACTCCTCCCATCTGCGCCCGGGAGGCTCCAGCGAAATTGGCCGTCCGAGAACCAAGTGGGCCGATTCAATACACCATTTTGCGGTGCGCGCTGATATGCGCACGTGCGCTGTCGCGCCAAACCGCACGACAGGGGGTAAGGAGGAGGAGGAGGACGAGGAGGAACAAGAGGAGGAGGAGGAGGTGGAGGTGGAGGAGGAGGGAGGAAGGAACAAACATCGCATTCGATTATCAGCACTTTCCTGGCGTGGCGTGTAGTTGTCCGCAGCAGATCCTCACGTACATGCTTCTTCTACTTGTCTCATGCACGCAGGCATTATAGTGTACACCAGCGATGCGTTGCACGCGAATTTTGTGGTGTAGACACGCGCTGTGGCGTGCACAAGCGCTGCAAGCATTGTGGTGTGCACAGGCGCTGTGTTGCACATGATACCTGCGGTGTGCACGGGTACGCCGGCGGTGTAGTGTACGCAATCATTGTGGTGTACACAGACGCTGCGTTGCACATGGTTGTTGTGGTGTACGCAGGCGCTCTGATATACACGCGCGCTGTGGTGCACGCGAGCGTTGCGGCGTACACAGGCGCAGTGCGGCATATCGCCACCTACATGCTGCTCGCGTCGTCGTCGTCGTCGCTCGTCGCTCGTCGCTCGTCGCGTCGCGCGCGCGGGCGCGGCTCCGGTGCCGGAGCCACGCGGCGGGGGGGGTGGCGTTATGTCATACCCCCCTTCGGCCCCCCCCCTTCCCAATGACGCCCGTCATCGCCGAACATAAAAAATGCGGTTTTACTGTAGCAGGGAAGGATGAGTTTAGAGGCAGCTTCGCAGATGGCAGCACAGTCGAAAGTGGTGGTACGCGTACGGCGCAAAGGGCTCAGCACATAACTCCTCCGATCGGCACGAATTTACTTGTGGCGATCTGGCTGCACGTGCGAGATGAGCTTGACACCACTGACGCGGTGGAGGCTGTTCGTCGGGAGTGAATGGTTGGGTTACCAGTCGAGCATGGAGAGCCAACTCGAAGGTCACGTATCGGCAAGGGACGATCGACGGCGTTTCCACTTCATCGAACGAATTTCAGTTTCTGGGCAGTCTGATGCGACATTTCGGCTTTCAAGGGAGAGTTTGTTTGCGCTTCGTGACGGCTCGCGCTCCTGGGCGGGATCGGCGGCCGTCTTGTTGTGGAGAAGCGGCCCCCCTCGCTGCATTGTCAAACCTGGGCCCGCCAGGAGTTTGGGAATCCTCTCATGGTTTGCCCGCCTCCCCCAGCGCCTGCCCCCCCTCTCCGAAAACCATCAGCTGGTTTGAGTTTCGCTGCTCTCACAGTTCGGTTGTGGGGTCGTTGCCCTCGGGCGCCCCCCCTATCACTGGCCACGCGCTCCCTCTTCGCGTCCTCGGGGCGACTATAGCACGAAGTCGACATGTTAGAGGTTTGGGGCCCCCTTCTTATCCTGTTGTTCCGGAGGTCCTCTCCAGAGTCTCGTTCACATTGCCATCATGAGGATGGTGGTGTCAACGATGACGGCGACGCTGAGGTTGACGTTCGACGTGGTGGCGGTGATATTGATAATGCTGATAACGATGATGATGATGTTGATGATGATGCTGATGATGATACTTTTGATGATCATGATTAAGATGATGATGATGATGCTGATGATGCTGATGTTGTTGATGATGATGATGATGCTAATCATGACGATGATGATGCTGAAGATAGTGATGATGACGATGCTGATGACGACGATGATGATGATGCTGATGATGGTGGTGATGATGCTTACTATTTAAGCTGGTGATGATGATGACGACGATGATGATGGTGGTGATGCTGATGATGCTGAATATGATGATGACCATGATGATGGTGGTGGTGGTGATGCTGCTGATGATGATGGTGGTGGTGGTAGTGTTGATGGTGATGATTATGAGGATGCGGATGATGAGGATGATGATGTTCTTGATGATGATGGTGATGATAACTATGATGATGATGATGATGATGATGATGATGATGCTGATGCTGATGCTGATGCTGATGCTGATGCTGATGCTGATGCTGATGACGATGCTGATGCTGATGATGGTGATGATGTTGATGATGCTGACGGTGAGGATGATGCTGATGATGATGATGATGATGCTGCTGATGATGATGATGATGTTGATGCTGATGATGCTGAGGATGCTGGGGATGATGATGATGATGATGATGATGATGATGATGATGATGATGATGATGATGATAATGATGAGGATGATGATGATGATGATGATGATGATGATGATGATGATGATGCTGCTGCTGTTGATGATGTCGATGATGCTGATGTCAATGAGGAGTAGGAATATACATCGGAGGATCAGGCTGTGCAGGAAGAGGAGAAGCGCCAGCAGTAAGAACGAGTGGAAGGAAGACGGAGGGGGCAGAAGAAGTTTATGAGGACCAATGGGGATGCGAGGGTCACGGGGTGAGAGACATTCCGAGGAGGAGGGATTGGTTGAATGGGGGAGTGGGGATGGACATAACGAGCTGGGCGGGGATGGGCATCGACGACGGAACGTGGATGCAGAAACGTTGCAGGGAGGGACGACGCATTGGATGGAGGGAGGGAAGACGGAGTCGCCAAATATTGACGGGATTCAGCAGAGAGGGAGGGAGGAATTGAGGCAAGGAGTTGAGGAGAGATAAGAGAAGAGGAGAAGACGTTAGCGGAGCGGAAATGGGAGTGAGGAGGGAGGGCGTGTGGGGGTGGGGGAGGGGGGAATGTAGAGGCGTCGGGCGATCGGGGTATGAGATGGGAAGGAACCGGATGGGGAGGAGGAGGAGGAGGAGGAGGAGGAGGGGGGGGGAAGGGGATTCAAACAACGAGCACGCAGAAGTTCATCATGACGCGGGGGAGTTGGAGATTGATGAGGCATGTGTTGATCCGACCAGGTGAGGCACATTAGGGGCAGGTTGCGGGGAGTATGATGAGCGCGCGGGGCCGCGCCCTAGCCGCCGAAACGTCGAAGATGACAAAGCGTCGGCGTCGCCCTTGGGATTCGTTTAGTTTTTGAGATGTAGATTCAAGCGCGCAATTTACGCCAACCTAAAACAATGGTTTTCAAACAAAACGCACACAGGGGAAGGGAATCGCAGAAATCACAGAACTAGCCTGAATGCAATCCGCGAAGAAGGGCACTGGTACGGAGTCCGCGGCGTCGTTGCAGTTTCACAGCGTCGTCGCGCGAAATCTAAAGGTCCACGCTGCCTAGCTCATCCAGCGGGGGGAGGGGGGGGGCAGAGCCTTTTTCAGATGCACGCCACGAAAAAGTGTGTTTCTTTGCGTTTGGGAAGTGCACGCAATTCAGGTGGTAGGTAGACAAAAAAAAACTGCGCGGGAACTTGAACGGATTTTTGTTTATGGGGTTTCAGCCCGTGCGCACCGAAAACCATAATACATAGTGGGAATGAACATCTGTAGTTTGTTACGGTACGCATAAATTTGCATATCAGTAGCTGTTCGTGCCAAATGCTTCCGACATGACGGATCGAAACAAAGGTTCCTTCGAGCTCGTTTCAGGAAGCGTGTCCCGTCGTTTCCGTTGCCAAGAAAACTTAACCCACGCTGTTGATGGCGCTTGTCCTTCCGAATTTGTGCATGCATGCGCTGGTGGTCGCCGAACCCGCGCATGCGCCGGCGCGCGGCCCGGGCCGGGACCTCTCCGGAATTCGGGCCGCGTACTGCCGCTTCCTTCCTTTTAACAAATGTATATGTTCGTAGTATGTGATCTAAGCGCCCAGAAATCCATGGATGCCCTTAAGGGTAAACCAGTGGTTTTCCAGAAATGCATTGAAAACCTTGGGCGATCTGAAACATTAATTTTACATTGGGTTTTTCTCATTGGGTTTTCGGGTTAACATGCGTTTTCTGTGGTTTTTCGAAATCGATTGGGAACCTTTGGCGATTTGAAACATTAATTTTACATTGGGTTTTTCTCATTGGGTTTTCGGGTTAACATGCGTTTTCTGTGCTTTTTCGAAATCGATTGGAAACTTTGGACGATCTGATACATGAATTTTACATTGGGTTTTTCTCATTGGGTTTTCGGGTTGACGTGCTTTCTCCATGGCTTTTCGAAATCGATTGAAAACGTTGGAGGATCTGAAACATGATTTTGTGCATTGGGTTTGTTTCATGTGGTTTTCGGGCTAACATGTGTTTCCTGTTGTTGTTGTTTTTTCCATTACAAATCGCTTGAATGTTTGTTTGATGGAATTGCTTCGCATATCGCACGCGCGTGACACATGCGTTGAACTGGTTCGTTCCGCAGCGCGCGTTGCGCGTCTTTCACGTCGGTGCATCGCCGACGCAAACGAACTTCCGCTGATCATTGATAGTTCAGTTCAGGAGACTGCCGACCCGCCGATGCCGCGCATGCGCCGGCGCGCGGCCCGGGCCGGGACCTCTCCGGAATTCGGGCCGCGTACTGCCGCTTCCTTCCTTTTGACAAATGTATATGTTCGTAGTATGTGATCTAAGCGCCCAGAAATCCATGGATGCCCTTAAGGGTAAACCAGTGGTTTTCCAGAAATGCATTGAAAACCTTGGGCGATCTGAAACATTAATTTTACATTGGGTTTTTCTCATTGGGTTTTCGGGTTAACATGCATTTTCTGTGGTTTTTCGAAATCGATTGGAAACCTTGGGCGGTTTAAAATATGAAATTTACATTGGGTTTTTCTCATTGGGTTTTCGGGCTAACACGTCGTATGTATTGTTCACAATCGAAAAATCTACATGTAATTCCAGAAACTGAATTTGAAATTTCTGTGGCTCTTTAAGGAGGCCGACGGTGACACGGGTCACCCGCGCGTGCGGGTGTGACCATGGTCGCCCGCGCGCGTTGGAGTATTGTATTGTCTACAGTAGAGAAGTATACATGTAATTCTAGAAACTGAATTTGAAATTTCTGTGTCTCTTTAAGGAGGCCGACGGTGACACGGGTCACCCGCGCGCGCGGGTGACCATGGTCACCCGCGCGCGCGTTGGAGTATTGTATTGTCCACAATAGAAAAGTCTACATCTATTTCCAGAAACTGAATTTGAAATTTCTGTGGCTCTTTAAGGAGGCCGACGCCAACCGACACGCGTCACCCGCGCGTGCGTGTGACCATGATCACCCGCGCGCGCGTTGAGTATTGTATTGTCCACAATAGATACGTCTACATGTAATTCTAGAAAATGAATTTGAAATTTCTGTGGCTCTTTAAGGAGGCCGAAGGTGGTCACCCGCGCGTGCGGGTGACCATGGTCACCCGCGCGCGCGTTGGAGTATTGTATAGTCGACAATAGAACACTCTACCTTGAAAACCTTGCACGATCTGAAACATGAATTTCACATTATGTTTTTTTTTTTTTTTTTTTTTATATGATTGGGTCTTCGGGTTTACATGAGTTTTTTTCTTTTCTTTTTTCCACATCGATTTAACGCATTGGGCGATTTGAAACTTGAATTTTGCATTGGGTTTTTCTCATTTGGTTTTCAAGTTAACATGTTTTCGTGTTGTTTCGGAACTCACATAGACACGTTTACCGATGTGAAACATTGGATTATCCTCATTGCAAGGAATTGCTACCCCCCCCCCCTAAGAGGTGTTTTGTTTTTTGGCGGACAAATGTTTGGATGGGTGCTCACGTGGCACGCGTGAGCGGTGCCGCGCGGTGCGCACGGGAATCAGGGGCGTGCTGTTAGTGTGGTGCCGCGTGGTGCGATCGGTGATGCAGCGTGCCGTGCGGTGAATGCCTTGCCGTGGTGTCGCGGCGCGGTGGTGCGGTGCGTGCCGTGCCGTGGGGCCGCGAGCGTGGTGCGGTGCGGTGATGTGTGGTGCCGCGGCGCCACTCTGTGCGCGAGGTGCCGTGGGGTGCGTGCCGTGCCGTGGTTGCAGGGGGCCGCGTCGCGTTGCTCGGTGCCGCGCGACGCGCGCGGGGTGCCGCGCGGCGCTTGCGGCCCAGCCATTTGGGCTGCGAGGTTTTTGAGAGGAGCGCCAGATGATCCCAGCGCCCCCCGTTGTTCCTCCAGCGGCTCGGCGCGACCTCCGCGACCGCCGCCGCTTCAAGCTGCCATGCGCGATCCTCCTGTGGAGCCGCCCAGGCATCGAGCGGCGCAGCCGGATGAAGCGCGGCCGCGAGGTGCCTCCCACTTTGCGCGCCGTGGCTTCTCTGAACCAGAACCCGAAGTATTCGCAGGGGGACCGCGGGGTTAAAGTCCCGACGTCCTCGCGCGTCCAGGGGGGGGAGGGGAGGGTGACGACGGCGACGATGAGGGGGGCGAGGGGCGACGAGGGGGGATGGCGGGGCAAATGGAGAGGTGGACGAGGGGGATGTCGGAGGTCCGAGGTCGGAGACGAGGGGAGGGCGATGAGGAGCATGGCGATAGGGACGGCGAGGGCGACGAGGACGAGGAGGATGAGAAAGAGACGTTTGAGGGGGCCCCGACTTGCCCCATTTGCCCCACTCGTCAAAAATGCACCCTTGCCCCACTTGGTCCAAGTGGGGCAAGTGGGGCACTTCGCCCTGCAATCTCCTCCTGGGCCCTCTCCCTTACCACCCCTCGCCCTCGGACCTCGGGCCCCCTCTGACCTCCGACAAACCTTCCTTACCATTTTTTTTGGTATCTGGGCGCCCCCAGGATTCGCGAGTGCAAGATTGGTGGTTGAAGATCAGCAGCAGGGGCATGACTCGCGTGCATTTGTCTGGTTCCTACGTTACTTGGTTCTGCGATTGGATATCTTCCCCGATTGGCATGCCAATAGATCTGGAGGCTGATCATTTCCAGGGGCAGCCCACGATGACGAACTTCTTGGCCAACGGTGCGCTGGATGGGGAGATTGGCAATTCGCAGTGGTCCAGGGGCGCTCTGAAAGACATCGTGGCGAACCATGAGAGCGTCGTCTTGTTCTTAGTGCCTGACGACCTCATTGCCAATCTCATCAACCGGGGCGGCCACTTCTTCGTGGCGCCAGCGTCGTACGCAGAGCGGCACCATCTCGAGATCATCGAGGGCGTCTTAGGTACCGCCACGCCCGAGGTGAGCGACGCTGGCCTCAGCGACGCCGATGACGGAGTTGCGCGGCCACGAGATTACAAGCCTGCTCGCGCGGGGGCTGCTTTGACCGTGCACGTGGCCAGACTTTGTTTGGAGATGGATTGTTGGAGAAGTAATCTGAAGCGAATTCTTGAGTTGGCCGCCAGGATCGTCAACCCTGGTTTCAATGTCGACGAGTTGACCTTGCCTGCGCCATCGTCCATTCGGAACGCCATTATCAAATTGGACATGCTAGTCATGCTTCGTAGGAGGGTCGTCCACATGCAGCCCAATGTGCAACACGTCAGGTTCCTGTGCCCAGATTCCAGCCCACAGGGGTCCTATGACTTCTTCAACTGCATTGAAGAGACGCTGACCAGACCACTGCCGTGGTACGTGAACACCGCCACTGATCCATTCAAGTCAGGATATTTCTCTTGGAGCCGCCGACAGATGCCCGTGATGACCATCGGGCGTGGACATGGAGGTACTGCTACTAAAGTTCATCGTGGGGCTTGGGGGGCCATCTGTCTTGCATGCATCCACGTTCGCACCTGTACTTGTCGCATCTCATTTGTATCCGCGGCCACGTTTGCATGCATTGACGTCGCGTATTTGTCGCACGTTTGCATTTGCACGTGCAGCGCTCGCATGAGGGGGCCGCGATGGCGAGGAAGAGGAGGAGGAGGAGGAGGACGAGGGCGAGGGGTAGGAGGAGGAGGACGACGACGAGGAGGGTGTACGAGGAGGCGCCTTTGTCTTGCCACTGGTCTTGCCTCGGGCCGATGGGGGTGGCTCGGCGGCGGGCCCGGAGGCGTCGCCCATATGATGTTCCTCGAGGCGGGCAAGGGCGGCATCGAGGCCTACCGGAAGTCCGTGAAGGGCTTCACCTCCGACCAAGGGGTGGGCGGCGGAGGGTCTCTCTCTCTCTGTCCCTCTCTCTCTATCTATCTTTTTTTTTTTTTTTTTTTTTTTTTTTTTTTTTTTTTTTTTTTTTTTTTTTTTTTTTTTTTTTTTTTTTTTTTTTTTTTTTTTTTTTTTTTCTCTCTCTCTCTCTCTCTCTCTCTCTCTCTCTCTCCCTATATATCTCTTGAGATATGTTTCACCTTGTATATATACATGCAGATACGCATACATACAGTGCATATATACACATGAATACATATAGATATATGGAATCCATCTCCTCCTTCACCGCCCCTTTTTCTCGCTCGCCCTCTCCCCTCCCCTCCCCGTCTCTCTCTCTCTCTCTCTCTCTCTCTCTCTCTCTCTCTCTCTCTCTCTCTCTGTTTGAATTCCCTCGCTCTCTCTCGCACTCTCCCTCGATCTCCCTCTCCGTCTCCGCGGCGGGGGCGTTGGTTAAGGCATGCCCCTTGGGGCCTCGGACCGCAGAGGATTCCTTTTCCGATGAGGGCGGAGGCGATGCCCCTGGCAGATTCACAATTGGAGATGCACTGGCTTCCAGACCCTGGGTTCCTCATCCAGTGTTTCCCTATCCAATGCCTCTACCGTATCACCGCATCATTATCTCGCGGCACCAGACGGCGCGGTAGCGCGGTGATTGAGGGAGGGAAGGGGCCGATATATACATACATAGAGAGAGAGAGAGAGAGAGAGAGAGAGAGAGAGAGAGAGAGAGAGCGAGAGAGAGAGAGAGAGAGGGAGAGAGAGAGAGAGAGAGGGAGAGAGTGTGCGTGAGCCCTTGTGAGCACCATGCATCTGATCTCACCTTTGGTCAGCTCGGGTCTTCCCCTTCCCCTGTTGCCCCCCGCCCTGCTCCTGCGATAAAGATGTTGGGGCAGGGATCTGAACGTGGCATACCTCGCGCTCCTTTTGGCACGCACGAGGAGGTAGAGGAGTCGATCAAGGCATTGCGCGAGAACCGCTTGCACCTTCTGGACGTCACCAAGCAGGCCTTGCTCCCGAGCGCCCTTGTCATTACAGGTAGTTGGCACATCATTTTTAACGCTTTGCAGAACTCGATTGAGAGCGTGCCCGAGTGGCCAGTCTTTCTTGAGCGACTCCGCAGCGTGACTCGGCTGCTCGGCGATAAATCATTAAAAGACCTGTTGATTTCCAAGTGTATGGCCACGGCTGACAGAGCGGATAGGCGTTTAGTTCACACTTTTGGAGGATCGCACGTGGACTGGAGGTGGGAACACCTCGAGGATCTCTTATGCCAGCTCGTCCACATCATGCCAGTGCTTAAGCAGTCGTTCAGCAAAGAGGTCTTCTCCACCGACACTGACATCACCAGGAATGTTCCTGCCTTCCTCGACGACCCCTTCAGCTACCCCTTCGTTGCTTGCCTGTCAGTTTTCACGAAGCAGGTCGGAATGGAAGGTTCCTGGTTCGACGGCTGCTACTGCCGCGAGCAGCAGCTGACCTCCGAGAAGAACCCCTTGAAGCGTGCTCGGGCGATCCGCGATCAGACTGGTCAGAACACTTGCTGCTGGAAGGGGAAGAGACTCCCTTCTATGGCGATGGGCAGGGCCAAGGAGATGGCCACGCGAGTGACCGGAGCCACGAACGCCTTGTACAAGAAGGCGTTGTTGGAGGCCCCTCCAGAGGTGGCCAGCCGCGTCGCGGCCGTGGAGGCCAACGTGAAGGAGCGTTGGCGAGCAGAGATTCTCACGAAGTTCGACTACTACGAGCACTTGCCCCACGTCGTCGGCGCCGCGTGGGCCCCTTTTTGCGGCTACCCTGCGAGCGACTGCAAGCGCCGCATCGCCGACGCTTTCGCCGAGTTCCAGGGCGTGACGGACCGCAACAAGATCGACCCTGTGAGCGAGGATTGAAGGGGGGGCCTGGGCTTGGGACCTTGCCACTCCAGCTCTGCCTCCCTCCTCCTGCGTCAACTTGTCAGGTGACCGATCGTGTTCATCGCCGCCGTGCCGTCGTACTCACCATCTGATTTGGTTCGCCCCTTCGTTTTCTCTCCTTGCCGCGCCCCCTCGTCTGCCCATCGCGAGCTCAGGAGATCTTCGGCGAGATGTCGGCCGCGTCCTTGCAGTTGCTCCAGTGGTCGCGCGAGGATGGGAAGGATTTGAGAGAGTTCCACGAGGCGTACAGCATGGTGCACGACTTTTGCATGACGAGTTGCAGCGAGAGGTGGGTAGAAAGGGCACATGTCAGCACGAAACTTGCCACTCGCACTAAAACCAGATGCGCGTTCCCAGCTTTTACGAGTGCACGGCAGCGAAAGCCAGAAATTAATGACGTACTCGATAACCATTTAGAATGGGTCATCCAGATGTTCCCCAAGGAGTCGATATGTTCCGACCTGCTTGAGCATATGATGTCTGCTACTGCGACCAAGGCACTGACTCTGGCGCAGCGCCACGCGAAGGTGTACGGCTACGACCCGTGCACCCACTTCAGGCCTCAGGGCAAGCGTGAGCAAGCTAATGTATTGGCCGTCCTTGATTTACAGTCGAAGCGCCAGGCCAAGCCAGTGGTGCCAGTGACGGTTAGCATGCAGCTGGTCGTGGAATTCTTCAAGAGCTCCATGGCGCGATGCTGGGGCGGGGGGCAGCGAGCTCACTTGTTCGACAGAGAGAGAGAGAGAGAGAAACAGAAAAAAGGAGGAGGTTGAGGAAGAGGGCAAGGAGGACGAGGGGGAGGGCGACAGCGATGAGGGATAAGGAGGATTGCACATGAGGGTATATAGGTAGTGGGGAGAAGCGGAGTGATGCAAGCTAGGCGCGCCCCCGTCATATCTGACGCCCTACCCCCCCTCCCACCCCTTAGCATTGCGTGGAGACCCTCCCAGCGTAAGCGCTCTTGACACGTGGTAAGTGTTGCGATGAGGTTGTCTGTGCCATGATAGGGCGAACTGCCGCAATGGGGGCGCAGGCCGCCGGGGACACCTTCACTGTTGCCGAGGACTTGTTCAAGATGGTCAGCGGGGAGGTGGCTGAGGTCGTTCCGGCGCCCGCCCCGCCTGTTGCTTTCGTCGATCGGATCGCTCAGGGGCTCGCTGAAGAGAAGGACCCGCCCGTGTTCGCAGGCAGTTTTGTCTTCTTCGAAGTTGTCTGCTCGAGGCCCGAGGCAAGGTGGCAAAACAAGAGCTTGCGCATTGCCAGCCGTCGGACCACGATCGACGTGCGCGCGTGGAGAGGCGTGCCACCTGTGCTAGAGGGAACCACCGTAAACATGTCAGACAGCGTTTCGGTGACAATAGACATTGCTCAGTGGGGTGACTCAGATGTGTTCCGCCGCGTCCTCGGATCTCTGTGCAAGTGGACAGTGAAGCCCGGGGTGCTCGAGTGCCGAATCCAAGCGCAGTCCCTTCTGGAGCTTGCAGCTCCAGTGGTAGTTCCGCCGCTGGAAGGGGCGGAGGCAGGTGCGATCGTTGCTGCCCCCGGCCCGCCCGCTCATGCTGCAGGCGTCCTTGCAGTGTATCAGGCGTGGCAGCCAGTGGACGCAAATGCTTGCAAGTGCGTGGAAGCGCTGGTGCAGCACCAGGCTTTCGTTGAGGGGGACCAGTGGGTTCAGCGGGCCGAGTTGGATGGGGTGCCCGACCAGTCTTTCAGGAGCCACTTCGAAGATGTAGATCCCGTCTTAGGAAAGAGCCTCTCGACCCTCTCTCTACATCGCTCTGGGCCCCCCCTTGGGCGAGGGCCGAGTGGGTCGACGGGGGGCCAGGGCGCGGGTGAGGGGGCGGGGGGAGTTGTGGGAGGGCGGGGGCGCCCACGGGCCTCGAGCTTCGGCGATTGCCGCGGCATGTTGCTTGGTGCTTAAGTCTCTCCCCAAGGACGTTGGCGAGGCTAGGTGTGATCTGTGAGCAGACGGATTCGTTGGGCCAGGAGATCGTGGCACTCGACCTCGCCCACGTTCAGGTTTCAGGACAGATTGTGCTAGACAACCCGAAGAAGTTTCTCTATGGGGCCAACGGGAGGGGTCATATCACAGCGTGGTCGAAGTTATTGCTGATCAAGAGGTGAGTGGGCGGTGAATGCTCGTTGGGTGAAGGGGGGAAATCGGAGGCTCGGAGGGAGGGGGGCGGGATGAGGAGTCAGCGGGGAGGGGGGATTGAGGAGCGGTGGGGAGGGGGACAGAGAGGGTCGATGGTGGAAGAGGGGCAAGACGTCGGGGGCCGAGGATTTCTTCCCTCATCATCTCTAGGTTGATGCAACAGGGCTGGAAGTCATGCACACTGAACCTAAAGGTGTACAAGAAGACACTGGCGAAGCGCTTCTTGACCAAAGGGAGCGGGAACAACTTACCTCCTGGCTTATATTATGTTGCTCTATTGATGAGCCAACTCTTATTTCGCAAGCCTGGTGGCGGCTGTGTCAAACTTAGCCGCAATGGAGGGGGGGGGTGTTTCTTCTCCCCGCGCTCTCCTCCTCCTCCTCCTCCTCATCTTCCTCCTCCGTCTCCTCCCCTCTCCCCCCCCTCGCCAGGGCGGCCTCCTGGGGGCGGGCCCGCGGCCTCCAGGGCCCTCTCGGAGCCACCTTGCGGCCAACGTGCGGCCCGACGGATTTTGCAGAAACTTGCAAAATCCGTCGGGCCCCCTTCCTGCGCCCACTGGCGCGCGGGAGGGCGGCTGGGCGGGGTGGAGAGGCCATCTTGCTCTCCCATTCCTCGCCTAGCCTATCCTTTTTCTTTTTCTTTTCCATCGCAGGCTGACGATGGGCCTTTCGACCGATACCGATGCCGATGCCCCTCGCCATCCTCCTTCTCCTCCTCATCCAGCCCCCCCATCTCCCCTCTCATCCTCCTTCTTCTCCACCCCATCCTCCTCCTCCTCCCTCCTCACCCCCCCTCCTCTTAGCCCGCGCGTCGCGAGGCGGCCTCAAGGAGATTCTGCACGGCGCCCAGCAGTATTACTACAAGGCTTTGCTTTCTTCCGATGATCTGTCAGACTTGTGCAAGCTTGATCACGCCGCGCTGCTGAAGCTGAAGAAAACCGATTTGCCAGACCCCGTGCCGGAGCCAGAGGCCATGGCCGACGGGGCCGCGGCGCCCCCGCCCCTGCTCGACGGGATTGCTGCAGAGGCAGAGGGTGCCGGGGAGGAGGAGGGGCCCGGGGGTGTCCCGCCAGATGCGCCAATCCCGCATATCGTTGTGCCAGTGGTTGGTCATGAGCAGCCCGTGCAGTGCAAAGTGGATGGCTATAAGAATGTCACAGTGTACTTTGACAGCTTTACGCACGCGTCGGGTAGGCAGAGGGTGTTCGTCCACTGCAGGAAGCACAGCAATAACTGCCGCCGATATTTTTTCGTTGACAATTTTGTTTCTAGGGCCCGCGCAGTGTCGGCCTGCATGGCATGGTCCGCAATTGCAGTAGATTTTCCAAACGTCAATCAAAGGCTGCAACACATCGCAGCGGACCCTCCAGATGACTTAGTTGACACATTTGAGCGCTTGCAGTTTCCGTGATGGTGCGATGATAAGAGCCTGACAACATATGAGGAGTGATGGGGATGGGGGGTGGGGAGGGTTAAGTTTGGGCGTGAATCAGCGCCCAGGTCCGCGCGTTGCAAGCGGCATCGCTCATGCCAGCCCCAGCGAGCCAAAGGGCATGCCAGAGGACACCATCGTTTGCACGAGCGACTTGTTGCGACCGAGGCTCGTTTGAGGTGGCCGCTGAGCGCTGTTCTGGCACCGGCAGGCGTCACCGGGCCTCCGGGAGATGATCGAGCATCATCCAGGCCAGGTCGCCACCATACAGCACCGACAGGGACTTCTCAGCGTCACATCAGGACCGTCAGGACGCCAGGATATTGCCAGGGTACCACTCAGCACCACAAGGGCACAGCCAGGGTACCACCAGGGCACCAGGACACCACCAGGGTACCGCCCAGTACCACCAGGGCACCATCAGGGTACCGCCCAGTACCGCCAGGGTACCGCCAGGGTACCGCCAAGTACCACCACAGTACCGCCAGGGTACCGCCAGGGTACCGCCAGGGTACCGCCAGGGTACCGCCAGGGCACCGCCCAGTACCGCCCGAGTACCGCCAGGGTACCGCCCAGTGCCGTCCAAGTACCGCCAGGGTACCGCCCAGTACCGCCAGGGTACCGCCCAGTACAACCAGGGTACCGCTCAGTACCACATGAGTACCGCCAGGGTACCACCCAGTACCACCCGAGTACCGCCAGGGTACCACCCAGTACCGCCAGGGCACCGCCAGGCTGCCAGGGCACTTCCCGGGCACCGCCGGGATACCACCAGGGCCACCAGGGTGTTGCGAGGTCTCGCGCGCGCAGCACAGCGCAGCAGGCTTTGCGAGAGTGTTGCCAAGGCGTGTTCGGTCGCAGGGCGGGCACATGTAGGCTGGTTTTCGTTCGATTGGCGCCCCCGGAGGGCATTTTCAATGAGAGCGCGTGCCTGGGGAGGGAGCGCGGCAGCCAAGTGGTTTAGAGCAGCTTGTGTGTAAGTTTGTTCGTGCTGCCAGCTCGTTGCGGGCACGCGCGCTGAAGTTAGACGTGCGCGGGCACCCTTGGCGCACCCGCAGGCGGTTTGCGCCGCGCGTTCTTTATTTGCGACATGAAGTGATCGAGAAAACGTGTGTTAATGTGCGTTTGTTGTTTCCTTCGTCCATTTGCGCCCGTGGCTGCAGAGACACTCGCGAAAGTCGGCGAGGAGGAGGAGAGGGGGGAGGGCGAGGAGGAGGGGAAGGGGACTCGGCGAGGAGGGGGAGGAGGAGGGCTCCTTCTTGCTTCCCCCCATCTCTCCTCATATTCCATCCTACTCCTCCTGCCCCTCCTCGCCCCGCAGCCTCCCTTGTTCATCCGTCGAAGACAGCGACGGCGATGGCAAGGGCGGAGGGGTCGCCATGGTGGCCACATTCAGCACATCTGCGCAGTCCAGGTCGGCGCAAGGTGCAACCCTCGTGCCCGTCGATGAGCAGCAGGTTGCCTGGCGGGAGGGGGGTGCCCATGTGTTTTGTCACGTCAGTCACTTCCCCCCTCCCCCATCCCCATCTCGCCGAAGCCGCCGGAGGCCCGAGGCGCTTGGGTTTCGGCGCAGTGGCGACGCCGCGGCGTGGCATGGCGCAAGGCCCCTTCTCTGGAGACGATTGGTGGCTTGCCCCGACTGTCTTCTCGTACTGTGAACGGGGGCTTGCCGAGATTAGGCGACTTCGCCTAATCTCAATCTCGAAACCAGAAGGACGCCGACGCTGTCAGGAGGCGAAACCAGATCCGATCTTGGTCCGTTCTTCTGCCGTGGCGAAGACGCGACAGGTGGCTCCGATCTTGGTCCTCGACAGTGGCGACGAGGCGGAACCAGACGACGGGGCCCAAGGCAAAACCGACGACAGGACAACATGTGAGAGGATCGACTTGTGGACTATGCCCGATGATCCGCCCGCGCCCGCGCCCAGCCTGACCCCCTTGAAGCAGAAGCGTCCACGTAGGCACAAAAAGCACGCTTGTGGCGTGTGGCTCCCGAAGATTAAGAAATCACGACTCATTTAAAGTATGTGCAGCGCGTAGATAGATAGCTCGTGCATGAATCATTTCGGTGACCTGCGGAGCCTTGCGCTCCCCCACGCCCCGCCCGCCCTCTTTCCAAGGACATGGGCCCTCCCCCCCCTTTCCTCGACCATATGGCGCAGATGCTTTTTGGGTGCCCGTTCGGAGCATCAGAAGTAGGGGTAACGGCTTCTGGTGCCACTCTGCCGCGATGGCCTACGCTGATTATATTTTGGAGAAGCAGGGGCTCGATGTGGGCGCGGAGGAGGGAGAGGAGGGCTTGGAGGATAAGGGGGGACAGGGGGGAGGGAGGAGGGGGGGGGTGGATGCGAAACCGGAGGCAGACATCTAACCAGAGGGTGGATGCGAAACCAGAGGGTGGATCTAACCGGAGGGTGGAGTCGATGCTACGTGCATTCTACTCTCTGTGCACTTAGTGCCTCGATGCTACGTGCGCTTTGTGCACCTTGTGTCTCCTCGTATCTAGGGGGCTAAGTGCCGCCTGTGGCTGCTCTGTAGCGCCGCCCCAGCGAGCGGGGGGCAGGGTTTTTTTTTTCGTTGTGCATCGGGTGGCTTCCGTGGTGGGAGTAAGATCACGGCGCTGGCAGCGCGGGCCCCGTCCGAGTTTCGAGGCGTTCTTTTCAGCCAGAGTGTTTCAGCCCTGCGGAGCCCCCGGAGCTTTCGCGCTGGATCCAGGCGGGCCCTTGGCGGGCGCTCGGGACTTGAGCGGGCGGCCCTCAGCTCTTCCGCGCCCCAGGGCGGCCTGCCTCGGGCCCCGACCCCCCCCCCGCCCTCCTTGGCTGGGGTATTCGCCGTCCAGCGATCGGCTGGCAAGGCCCGTTACGTCCTCTTCTCGTTAACGGCCATGACCCTCTTTGGGGCGAGGATCTGCCGGAGGAGGGTCTCGAGGTGATGATCTGATTGGAAAATGCATGTGCGTGGCCCCCTTCGCCCGCCCCCCCCCTTCCCTCTTCCCTTTCCCCCCCCCATCTCTTCCGCCCCGCCTCTCCACGCCCTTTCCCCCTGCTTTCCTTTGCCGTCTTCACCTCCTGGCCCCCCCCCCACTGAAGCGCCCCTCTCCTTCCTCTCCTCAAGCGCCCCAGCTCTCCTGACGTCCATCTCCTGCTCCTGCTGCTCGCTACCTTGCCCCCCTCGAACGCCGCGCCCGAAAACAAGCGCCCCTGGCCCCGCCCCACCCTCCCCACCCAACTGGGGGACGTGACGCTTTCTTGGAAGCATGTCGGAACCGCCCCCAGCCTTCCCCCCCCTTCCCACCTCCCCTCACAAGGCCCCATCCCCGACTCCTTCTCCCCTCAACGACGCCGGAGGGCATGCAGCCAGGAGGTTCGCAGGTGCTGCGCGAGCTTGCCCGCGCGCCGCCAGCCCGACCGAGGCGCCGACCCCGCCCCGCCCGGGAGGGCGCCTACTGCGCCTGGCTGCCGTCGTGGCCGTCATAGGCATCGTATCATTTGATAACCACCATCATCGGTTATTCTATGATGTTTCCAAACGTGTATTTCAGCAGTGCTATCTGTCTTATCATCATCGATCATGGTGATAGGCATCATGTATGGTTTAGATCAGCTTCTATCACGCACATCCTCGCATCCTCATCCTCGCATCATCCTCATCCCTCCACATCCCACCATCCGCCTCCTCCTTGCTGCACTGCCCCCCCCCCCCCTCCTGCCCCTCATCCTTTTCATTCGGTCATCTTCTTCTATGCGTCTGAGCGGCGAAACGTTCCCCTCCCGTCCGTCACTTGTTTGCGTGGATCTTGGTTTGGGGGTGCGTGGTTTGGCCAGTATCACGTTGGGGCCCTCTTGGAGAACTTGGAGCCCTCTTGGGGCGCTCTTGAAGCCCTCTTGGGGCCCTCTGGGAGCCCTCTGGGGGCCCTCTGGGGGGGGCCTCGTGTAGCCTTCTGGGGCCTACGAGAAAAATGAGTTGTCAGGACTTCGCAGTTTTCGGCCCCTCGGGGCCCTCTGCCTGCCACCTGCCCCTCCTCTTCTGTTTCCTCCGCGTAGCCCCATAGCCAGTTTGGCTGGAGGCCGCCGGGGGCCCTGGAGGCCCGAGTTGCCGCGCGACCCCACACATCATCCTGCGACTGTGATGTCGCTTCGCTTTGTCCAGGAGGGGATGGCCCCGAACTTCGATTTGCTCGGCGACAAGGCTAACGCAAAGATCGGATGGTACATCTACCAGCTGAGCCGCCTCTGTCGCCGCATGCTGGGCGGCATCCGCATCTCGGAGCCCTTTCATGGCCTTGGGGGCAACAGGTCCTTCATGGCGGAGTGCAAGATCAAGTACAGCCCCGTCAACGTCTGGGAGTCCGACAAGCGGTTCTCTGCGCATTACAGCAGCATAGGCTTGGAAGCGCGCGTCGGGGAGATGGGGGATGTCTTGAAACTGAAAGACCTTTCCATTCTCGAGGATAGCGAGGGCCTGGTGTGCGGTCCGCCCTGCATCCCTTGGGCCGGGACGGGCTTGCGCGAGGGGATCTTGAATCCTGCCGCTGCGTGCTACGACCAGGCGACGCTGTGGATTGTAGAATTGGCGTCACGGGGCAAGCTCTTGTTCTACGCTATAGAGAACAGCCCGAACATCCTCAACGCTGAGGACGGCGGCAGACGGGAGGCCTACGCGTACAGGGCGTTGGCGTTTCTGCAGGCGCACTTGCCGTATTTCGTTCACGATATCGACACCGTCCATCTCCACCCGACCTTGCCGCACAAACGGTCCAGGCTTTGGATCCGCGGCATTCGGAAGGACTGCACTCGTGATGGACGGGTTCCTGCGCCCCTCACCGACGACTTCCTTCCGAAGATTTCCCTGGAGGATGTGCTTCGCACCGACCTCCCCAACGTTTGCGAGGAGACCTACGGGACGCCGAAGCAGCGGACCAACTTGAAGCAGTTCGTCAAGACCATCAAGCAGGACGTCGAGATAGGGGTCGGGGGCAAGATCGCTGTGGTGGAGATCGATCGGCGCTTGGGCAAGAACGCGTTCGCGGCGAAGGTGGAGTGCGACATGGTGCCCGCGCTCAGGACGTCCGTCAACTTCTTCGTCATCAGCGCTGACGACCTACACTTGCCCGCGAAGGACAGGAAGTGGTTCCGCCTGCTCCACCCGACTGAACGGCTCCGTCTGCAGGGCCATGCAGATGACGCTGACGCCATGCTCTCGGCCTCGGGCATTTTGTTCTCTCAGAAGGCAACGGGCAATGCTTACCCAGTAGCAATGGTGGCCAAGGCAGTCCTCCCACTCATGCACGAGATCTGCGTGTCTGGGGTCCAGCTTGGCGAGCACGCGCGCAGCCCAATGGAGCTCTACAGCATGGCTTACCCACCGCTGGAGGAGGATGACTTGTAGGCGCGCGGTGGTCGGCCAGGCGAGTTGAGTTGGGGGATTCATGCATGTCTAGGTTTGATGGGAGGGCGCTGTCTGAGGGAGGGATTTAGTAAAGCATTCGATTTAGGGCTTGGGAGGGGGGAATCACCACCCACCAAACCACCCCAACCCAACCCGAAGGCTCAGGCCTACCCTCGATTTCCAGCGGGGGGGGGTCGGGAAAAATTGAGAAAACACAGGTGGAACCCTTGCCCCCCCCAACCCGAAATTCGGGTCTTCGGGTTGGGTTGGGGTGGTCTGGTAGGTAGTCAGGAAAGGCAATCCGAAGGTTTCGTGAGCGCAGTGCTTTGTTTCATCGAGGCGACGACGTCGCCGCCCGCCGCCCTTCTCGGCATTTTGCTTGTGTCCTTGCCTGCAGCGAAAGGGGAGCGCGCAAGCCAGGATCCGAAGTGTCGTATTGCAGTGAGAACGCTGAGAACAGGGTCCTTCAGTTCAGCCACTTTGCCACCCTTTATCTTCCCTCACTGTCTGTCTGTATGTGTCCCTCCCTCCCCCCTCTCTCTCTCTCTCTCTCTCTCTCTCTCTCTCTCTCTCTCTCTCTCTCCCTCTCTCTCCCTCTTTCCCTCTCTCTCTCTCTCTCCCTCTCTCTCCCTCTCTCTCTCTCTCTCTCGCTCCCTCTCTCCTCCCGCCCTATCCCTACCGCCCCCCTGCAATTGTGCCCTCGACTTCGCTCCGCCCTCCGCCCACTAGGGTCGCTCCAACGCAATGTGTGACGTTGCCTTTCCACGTCTGCTTGTTTCAGCACTCTCGCTCTGCCAATCTCTCTGACGGAGGTGCCATTGCGATGGCTGCCCAGTCGACTGGCGCCGCGCCGAGCGGCAGCGGCGGTGCCGACAGTGCCGGAGGCGCGACCCCGAGTGCCCCCGGGGGGATCGCCTGACAGAGTTGCGCGGGGGGGGGCAGGAAGCGGCTCTTCATGTCTGCGTCGGGGGGTCCTTGCCAGCAGCGGTGTCTGACTCTGGAGGCGCATGACCTCGGGGCATCCCGTCTCCCCTCGCCCTCTTCGCCCGTTTCCCCGCTCGCTCTGGATCCGACGAGGCGCCCTTTGTGTTATCGTGGACTTGCGGGATGCGCGAATGCGTCGCTTCACCCCGCAGGCATTGGCAGCGTGGCTGGCCAGCTGATGTGCCAGAAGTGCGACGACCCCACCACCATGACGACGAGTCAACCTGCTGGGTCGCGCAACCCCCTGTTGCGCAACTGCACCGAGTGCAACGCGACTATTCAGTGGAAGAAGCGCATGTTCGCGGTCCCTCGGTGTCTAATGACCCCGCCCGTTTCTGGCTTGCCCGAGGCAATATCACCCGACCCCTTCGTTCCTCTATGTCGGCGCTTGGCGCCCCCCCATCCGCTGCCCCCTTTCTCGCTGGCTAGCCTCCGCCCCCAGGTCCTGAAGCCCGCGAAGGACGGGAAGGAGCACTGCAAGGAGAAGGTCAAGCAGGCAAAGCAGTTCAAGGACCTGCTGGACAAGATGACCAAGGATGCGGAAAAGGCTTGGTTTAAGGAAGAGAAAGCCAAGCGCCAGCTTGAGGGCAAGAATGCCAAGCGCACGTTCTCGGACACGAAGGGATACGTCAACCGCGAGAGCGCCCAGGATAATATTGAGGATGACCTCGTGCACTGGGAGCCGTTCGAGCAGTTCGCGATTCGCGTGATTGCCTTGGGGAGGTGCAAGAATGAGAAGGAAGCTGTTCCTCTGTGGAAAGAAGCATGCAAGGCCCCTGGTGCTAGGGTTGCTAAGGAGAAGGGCGCCCTGTGCCTGGCTCACTGGAAGGGGGTGGAGACGCGCGGGCGCGATCGGGAGACCTGTGCCACGGGGTACAAGTCCAGCCAGGCCATCGAGAACAGAGACGACCTCGAGACAACGAAGGTGCACATGGCTGAGCAGTCCGACAGGTTCAGCAAGATTCGGCGCATGAACGATATGCAGTTCGGAGTTCTAGAGAGCAGCATCGAGCCAGGCCCCTTGGCGGAGGCGGAGATCGACGTGGTCATGAGCGGAAGGCTGATGCCGGAGACTTCGGCGGGGTCCCAGCTGGTGTCCAGGGAGCTCGCGAAGAAGCAGCAGGCCGAGGAGTTGATGGAGCGCGACTTCCAGCTGCAGTGCGAGCAGGCCGCCGAGACTCAAGTTCAGCAGCAGCAGAGGCAGCAGGCGGCCCCGAAGCAGAAAGTGAAGGCCGTGGAGCAGCTCAACCTGAAGTCGCACACCAGCAAACTCCAGGCGGCTTTGGAGGATGCTTGCAGGAAGATGTCCGAGGGTACCGACACCGTGGAGAATTGGGCACTTACAGTGCAGAACAGCGACGACACGAAGCACTTGAATGATTTTAAAAAGGACTCGACGGAGAAGGTCAAGGAAGCAAGGGATGCCATCACGGCCATGCGCAAGAAGGTGGACGAGATGACCGCCGAGTGGGTCAAGTTTGGTGGTGAAGATCACACTGCCGACGAGTACTTCAATCAGATCGCGGTGTACACGAACGAGAGCAAGACGTTCTTCTCCAAGGCTGACGAGAAGACCACAGCGAAGGACGCGGTCGACGCCCTGCGCGCGTTCAAGGTTGAGTGCGAGAAGGCTATCAAAAAGGCCGCGGCCGAGAGGGCGAAGCAGTTGGCGAAGGCATCGAAGGCGACGGGCGCAGATAGGGGCACTAGCCAGCCACGCCAACCCGCTGGGTGGAGGAAGGAGGAGGTGATCGGAAGGAGGAGCGGAGGACCCCCCGAAGGGCGGAGGAAGGAGGGAGATGGGATATAGGGTGCCCTGGGATCTCCAATTGGCCCGAGTGGGCCCCAAGAAGGCTTCAAGATGGCCTCTAGGATCCCTGGGGGGCGTCAGGGGGGGGGGCAAGACGCTCCTAGAGGGGCCCAATCGGGTTCGAAGGGGGCTCCGAGAGAGGCCCAAGAGTTGTCTCTGGTTTGGGGTTTCTGGCGGGCTTGGTCGCCCCTATGCGCGGCGCTCGTCGCGCAGCCTGGCGCGACCTCGGTGGCGCCGTCGCAGCCGCAGTTGGCCAAGGTCTTCAAAGACGCGTTCGACCAGGGCAAGTTCGCCAATGGCATCAACGTCAACTGGGCTGTGTCTGACGTCTACAAGGGGGAGCTCCGCGCTTGCATGGTCCCTGGAGATCGCTGCAAGGCGATTGCCGATGCCATTCGCAAGCTGGACTACTACGCCTCCCAGAAGGGTTGGGTCGAGCAGGCCATGAAGAAGTCCGCCCAGGAGTACACGAGCGCCGTGGTCGTGAAGATGGGCATCGTCAAGAAGATCGAGGCGCAGCTGTGTCACTTTGGTGACAAGCAGTTGTTCGGGAATTCGCTGTTGGACGGTGATGAGAGCGTCCAGGGCTTCTTCCGCCCCCAGTTCTACCGCGGCAAGGAGAACGGCTTCTTCGTGGCCCACTCGACCGATTACGACCTCGTCGACGCCCGCATGCTCCTTGAGGGAGAGGAGGTCATCGCTGGCATCCGCGCGAACGCCCTCGCGGGGGTCACGGCGAAGGAGAAGTCCGAGCAGCTCTGCGCGCTCAGCTTGGAGTCCATCGTGAAGCTCATCACCGAGAAGGGGTTCGCCTTCCACATGAAGCCCAACATGATGTGCGTCATCCCGAACGGGTTCGCCGTGATCTACCTGAACTGCAGTACCACTGAGGTCTTGCATGGCCTCCGCTGGCAGATGCACGGGGGCAAGAAGAACGTCGAGGCCACTTTGTCGACGTTGGAGCCGATGGTGCAGAGCAGTCCCGAGCTCGCGACCACCGACGTCGGCAAGATGGTCAAGGCAAGGCCATCACTCCTCTCCCCCCGTCCCCCCTCCTAAGCTTGAGCCGCGAGGGGGGAGGTGGCAAGGGGTCTCGAAGGGCCCGAGGGGTCTTGAGGGCCCCGAGAGGGGCCCAAGGGGTCCTGAGCTTGAGCCACGAGGGGTCTTGAGGGCCTGCCACCCTCGTTCGGATGTCATTCCCTTGGGGCCACTCTGAGTCCTCCTCCCCCTCCTCGGAGCCTTCTCCTCCTCCTCCTCCTCCTCCTCCTCCTCCCTTCTCCTTCCTCCTTCCTCCCTCCTCCTCCCTCTTCCTCCTCCTCCATCCTCCTCCTCCCCCTCCTCTTCCCCCCTCCCTCCTCCCTCCTCCCGTTTTCGCAGGGCCATGCGGCTGCGCCAGGGCGGCCTCCTGGAGGCGGGCCCGCGGCCTCCAGGGCCCTCTCGGAGCCACCTTGCGGCCAACGTGTGGCCCGACGGATTTTGCAGAACCTTGCAAAATCCGTCGGGCCCCCCTCCTGCGCCCACTGGCGCGCGGGAGGGCGGCTGGGCGGGGTCCGGCGGGGTGGAGAGGCCATCCTGCTCTCCCATTCCTCGCCTATCCTATCCCCTTTTTTTTTTTTCTTTTCCATCACAGGCTGACGATGTGCCTTTCGACCGATGCCGATACCGATACCGATCCTCCCTCCTCCCTCCTTCTCCCTCCTCCTCCTTCCTCCCCCCCTCTTCCTTCCCCCCCCTCCTCCCTGCCCCCTCCCCCCGCCCCGAGGCGCTGCGCGAGGCCTACGCCAACGGGAAGTTCGACGCGTGGGGCGCGGGCTCGGCGACGGCGTCGGGCGCCTGAGGCCTGGCGCCGCCTGGCGCCTGACGCCTCCGCGTGGCCGACCCGGGGGCGCTCAGAGAGTCCGACCGGGGGTCGGGCGCCAGGGGGGCAGGAGAGGGAACGGCGATCCCGCGGGCCAGGGCCGAAGTTGTAGTGGTCGTCGGGGGCATTGGAGAAGGAAGCTCTTCCGACCCTGGAGGAGTCTTTACCTGATGAGGGCGTCGACGATACCCATGGCCGATCCACAATTTGACCTCGACAGGCTTTCAGACCCTGGATTCCTTATCCACTTGTTTCCTTATCCAAGGCCCCCGCCGTGCCCTACAACTTCGGGGTGATACGTTGTCCAGGAGTGGTCTGGGGTCTGGGAATGGATGTCAGAGTTCTTTTATCTAGGGATTTTGTTTCGCTTATCGTCGCCGTTCTCCTGCCCCCCGTCTTGCGGGGCGGACTGCGACTGCGGGGCGACCAGTCGAGCAGGCCGACGACTGACAACCGACATGATGCAGTCGTCGTCGTCGTCGTCGTCGCCCTCCTCCCCCCTCCTCGCCCTCCCCCCCCCACCACCGCCCCGTGCGGCGATGGGGCCGGGGGGGGGCGGAGGGGGAGGAGGACAGGATGACCTCGCCCTTGTCCGAGTCTGGCCGCTCTAAGGGGGGCGGCTTCCCTCTTCGCCCTCCCCTCTCTCATCCTCAGTCCTGCTGCTTCGTGGCTCCACCGTGGGGCTCCACCTACTTCCCCTACCTCCTTATCTATGGCTTCCTTCTAACTTCTAACACCTCGGGTCCTTTTCAGGAGCGGCTTCGTCCATTGAGCGTTTATTCGCGCTTTCGGGAATGAATGCGATGCGCTTCGTTTTTGAGGTTTCACAGTACACGCTACATCAGCTGCAATGCGTGCCAAAAACGGTTGCCCCTGCCCCGCGCCTCCATTGTTGTATCGACGCGTCACGCGCGCGCGTTTGCTCAGTGGTCTGGGATCTGTGCCCATTCATGTTAGCCCCGGGTGCTTCCAGCACATTGTGATTTATGATCGCGCCTGGCCTGGTCGATGTTTTGGGGTGGTGCGCACTGGCGCAGTAACACTTTTCGCCGCTTCTGTAGCCGACGCGTTCTTTCCCATTGTCACCGCCCATGGTTTTCGGCGGAGTCGTTGCCAACTTAAGTTTCCCTTATCGTTTTGATGTGGCTTGGGGGCCGAATATGAACTTCGCCCTGGCCTTCAGTTTTTCATCGAAATCCATATATCTGGGGTTTAGTTGTTGTGGTTTCTGCGCCCTCGAAACGACCCGTGTGGGAGGGCGCGGCCCCACGCGAACATCATAGCGGGGAGCATGCGTAACATGAATCCGAAGATGATGATGCTGCCGATTCTCATGATGATGCTGCTGATGATGCTGATGATGGTGGTGATGCTTATGATGATGATGATGATGATGATGATGCTGATGATGATGATGATGATGTTGATGCTGATGATGGTGATGTTGACAATGCTGATACTGATGGCGATGAATATGATGCTGAGGATGCTGATGATGCTGATGATGCTGACGATGATGCTGCAGATGCTTAGGATGATACTGATGACGACGACGTTGATGTCTGTGATGATGCTGATGCTAATGAGGCTAGTTGTGATGATGCTGATGATGATGCTGGAGGTGGTCTTGACAACGACGATGATGCTGCTGATGCTGATGCTGATGACGATGCTGATGCTGTTGATGATGATACTGATGAGGATTATGTTGATTAGGTTGGTGATGCTGATGATGATGGTGGTGGTGGTAGTGGGGATCGACTATGGTGATACGGGTGATAGTTGTGGCGGTTGTGGTGATGGTGATGATTGTGATGCTGATGCTGTTGTTGTTGCTGATGATGATGGTGATGGAATTATGGATACAGCATATGGAAGAGAAGACATCCAAGCAGGTGAATAAGTCCAGATACCTCGAGTCTCCCCACTCGCGCATCCAGGAACGATGCCTCTGCGAGTTGTCGTTGCAAGGGAAGTGTGGGAGGAGGTAAGCAGTGGGACAAGGAGGGAGTGGCACCAGTCAGACCGAAACTTGGGATAATCCAGGTCAAACCCAGGAGTCAACCACATGCCTTTTGCGGGTCTTTAGATCTGCGAGCCTATTGGCAGCTTGCTTGGGCCATACTGGGGCTCTGTTAGTGCAATTTTGGAAGCCATCGAGACTCTCTTCGGGCTCCTTTGAATCACTTTGGAGCCCTAGGGGCCCTCACGGGACCATCGATCATGTAGGGAAGTGGGTTCCTCATTCAGGGTCTCTTTGGGGGCGCTCTCGGGCGTTCTTGATGTCGATTTCGAGCCTTTTCGATTTCCTCGTGGAGCTATGTTGAGGCCTCAGGGCTTCTCAGATATTTCCCCGCGACGGTGTTGGAAGGATTTGGGCCTTTCGGGGGCGGCCTTGGAAGGCTCCGTAGGCATATACAACCGCCTTGAGGCCTCTTGCAGTCATCTTGGAGGACATCTTGAGCCATCCTAGACCATATTGGAGGCCATCTTGAGGTATCTGGAGCCATCTTGCAGCCATGTTGGTCCATCAGCCTCCCAAAGATACCCCCGATATCCTAACATCATCGACCACTTTCTTGGATACGATGTTTGTTTTGAGCGAAGGGGGGGGGGGACTTGATTAGCCTTGCCCGTCTTGGCCCCGAATGGTCGCCTCTTGGGGCCTTCTTTGTCCCTCTTGGGGCCATCTTGTAGCCCTCTTCGGCTCCTTTTGGCGCTCTCTTGGGCCATCTTGGAGCCATCTTTGAGGTCCCAGACGCCCAATCGGATGCGAAAAGGTGAGACGGCAAACATCTTTTTATGGGCTTTTTATGTTTTTATGTTTTTATGTTTTTATCGGGAAAAGCGAAACGGTGCTGCTTTTTCTGTTTTATGGGTTCTGGCCTCTCGGGGGCATCCTTCGAAAGCTCCGTGGACAGCTGGAGCTGTCTCCGGGCGGCCTTTGCGTCTCATGGAACATCTTGGAATCATCTTGAAGGACATCCGGGCGAAGAGAACTATGCACATGCACCGATCCTGGCAAGGCCCATCCTGGACCCAGGATTGGTGCATATGCCTTCCTGGCCAAGGTAGGAGGGCGTATGCACCGATCCTGGGCTCAGGATGGGCCTGGCCAGAATCGGTGCATGTGCATAGTTCTTTTTCCTCTAGACATCTTGAACCATCTTCGATTTTCTTATGCCGTCCTGGAGATCACCTTGGGATCTCTGACTCTATCTTGGAGCCGACTTGGGCGCTCAGGCTTTTCGCGCCCGCCCGGCCGCCGTTGAGGACGAGGCGGACGACGCGGAGAGGACACGGAAGAGAAGGACGAGGAGGAGGAGGAGGAGGAGGAGGAGGAGGAGGAGGAGGAGGAGGAGGAGGAGGAGGAGGGGGAAGACGAGGAGGACGACCTATGGCTGGCGGAGGAGAAGGAGGGACGAAGAGGAGGAGGACCATCTATGGCTGGCGGAGGAGGAGGAGGAGGAGGAGGAGGAGGAGGAGGAGGAGGAGGGCTCCGTAGCCATTTTGGCTCAAGTCCGGAGCCGTTTTGGCACAGGACCTGACCTTACTGGCAAGGGGGAGCAGCGGCCCCCATTTGTGCCCCTCGTTTGCCTGGTCAGACGAGGTTTTCCGCGATTTCCCATCTCTCGGGCAGGGGCCACCTCAGAGCCCAGTCGCGTTCGTGCGCCCCCAAGGGGCACCTGATGGCCCTGAGGGGCGGGCGCGATGCAGATGATGTGGTATGGCCTCCTGCTCGCTGGAGTCGCCGTGCACGGCGCTGGGGAGGCACGTACCCGTGGCGCGAACCTCAACAGGCAGCTCCTATTGGACGAGAGGAGGAAGATTGGTACACCTCCAGTGGGAACAAGCTCAAGATGGTCACCTGCCTGGCCTGTGGCTGCAGCAAGAACACTTGGGGCTCTCTCTGCTGCAAGCACTGTGGCTCCAGCCTCACCAAGAAGACAGCCCCAGCAGGACGTGACCTTGGAGGGAACACACAAGGGGGTGGCCAACACGATCACGGAGTCAAAGGGAAGAAAGGCAAAGGCAAAGGACGTGATGAACGGCCAGATGGTGCACTTCCCCCAGGCCCACTTCCGAACATGGACGCTGATGAAGCACGCAACTTGGCAAAGTTGGCGCAAGAGGCTGGAGATGTGGAAGGGGCGAAACGGTACCAAGCATTGGCTACACGGGGACCGCCAGCTCCGACGACACCTGCAGCCAGACAAAGATGGCAAAAAGCAAAGGCCCTCCAAGCGCAGCTCGAGAAGAAGCTCCTCAGTGAGTATGAGCAGCTGGAGCGCTGGAGGAGCGCCACCATGGACTTGGAGAACCACATCGCCAGCATGGCCAAGCAGCTCCAAGAGGCAGATGAGGAGGTCACCAAAGCGCTGGCGGAGATCCAGACAACTTCTGGAAGGCAGCCCGAAGCACCTCCGCGCCCAGCCCAAGTCAGTATCCGTGAAGTGGTTGAAGGCAGAGTCGACCTCAAAGACGTCTTCACCATGGATGATTTCTTGGGAATCTCAGACGTGGTGGCCTCGCGCGAGCTGGACGAACAGGACATCAAGGAATTGGAGCGTCGCAAAGCAGAGGCCTCGGACAGTATCCAGACCCACCTGGCCAACATATTCAAGGGAGCTTTGGAGCAGGCATCCAAAGCGAAAGAGGCACACCGAGAGCACGTCACACGACTGGAAGGAAAGAAGCGCAAGGTGGATGGAGGAGAATCAGCAGCAGGTGGCCATGGTGGTGTTCGACCACCTGCCCAACCTGAGCACGGAGAAGAGCCAGCGCCAGCCACAGCGCAGGTGGCCCCTCTAACCACCCCCATCAAGAACATCCGCGAGAGGATTGCTGGGGACAGATCCTTACGACATGCAGCTGAATCAGGGGCCTCGCGACAGGGCCTTTAGCAGCGGGCAGGGTGCACAGGGCTGGGCGCGCAGGGATTCAGCCCCTGGTCGTCGCAGCGCCCAGCCCACAAGCAGTCCTACGAGAGCTACTCCATCTACACCAGCCTCCTCGCCATGTCCGGGGGCGAGGCCGAGACACCCGACGAAGGCGATGCAAGTCCAGACACAGAGTGACCCCGACCATGTCGGCGCGCGTCCTCGCCTGGACTTTCCGCTGGAGGGGGCTCGGCCGCCACGATCGACTTCGCCGATTACCGCGTGTGGATCGACAGGTCCCTCAACGTCAACAGGGCCGCCGATGAGGATTGCGATCGCATCATCGCAGATCGCATCGTCTGCATCCCCGACTGCGTGGACTGGGCCCTCAGGAAGTCAGAACGGGGACACCAGGTGCGCCTCGAGCCTGGTGGCCTCAGGAGTAAAGTGCGAAGGCTCGTCTCAACAACTTGAGACGAGCACCCCGTCCAAACCTTTTGCTGGATCTGGATTGAGCCAGAACGCGGTTGCCAGGGGCTCCTCGAACCTGGCAGCACCGGGAGACTATGAATGCTCGTCTCGAGGTTACGGGGCGAGCACCCCGTCCAAACCTGTTGCTGGATCTGGAGAATGTCAGAATGCTCACCCCCTTGGGGTACAACGTCGCCACTGGCGTGACCCACCGTCCAGGGGGCCTGGGTTGGAGCACGCTCGCTCAGGCTCACCTTCAGTGGCGGTGGGCGGGTCAGATCTCGCCGCCTCGAAAAGCCGACGTACCGACACGTGCACTTTCGAGGTCAATGGTGATGGGATTCTTTCGTCTGAGGATCTTTTGTCCTGTCTAACAGTCTGGGAGAAGATGATGAGGACAAGCTCTGGTGAAGCAGTATCCGAGATCAAACAGCGGTGGGCCCAGTTGCGAGAACAGCTCCAAGGTGGTCAAGATCTGGCAACGCGTCTGTGCCCAAAAGGGCAGTTTCGAGCTCGACGGCCTGCGTGTGCACATGAGCCACCCCGACCGGCTCGAAGCCATGGTCAGGGGATGCGCCCAGCTACCGCCAACAAGTTCGGGATCGTGAGCTGCAACGCCAACTCCTGGAAGACGGCGAAGCAGCTGCTAGCCCACTTGTCGACGCTCGGGGACATCGTGTGTATCCAGGAGCATAGGTTGATTCAAAAGTTCCAGGATGTTTCAGAAAGACTTCAGAAGCAAGGCTGGGAAGTCTTTGGGTCCAAGGGGCTCAGGCTGCCGTCCAAGAAGGTCTCGGGAGGCGCCATGATCCTGGTCAAGGGCCACTTGGAGGCCTGGAGTCCAAACCCTGAACTGGCCCCAGGTCGACTATGTCAGTGTTTCGTACAGCATGGGGCACTGGGGATCTTGAATGTTTTCTGCGCGTACCTCTACGACAGCGAGGGGCTTTCACCCAGAAACATAGGGATCCTAGAGGCATTTGGGACTGCAGCTGCTCAAATGGGTTTCCCGTGCGTACTAGCTGGTGACTTTCACGTTTGTCCGCGCACGATGTCTTTAAGTTTCCCACTCCACGTGATCAAGGGGGTGGTGCGAGCTGGCCCGACAATCCCGTCGTGTGTGACGACGGTTGATGGCAAGCCTCGCGAGTCGACCATCGATTTTTTCCTGCTGTATCGACATTTGGATGCGGCAGTGCTGACTGTAGACACAGATCTGGACACTACCCTGAAGCCTCACAGGCCCGTGGTCCTCCAGATAGGTACGAACACCAAGGGTACCTCCATCCAGGTCCCCAAGGCTTTCCATGAGATCCCCGCGAAGCCCCTCATAGGCCCACAACAGCGACCTCCGAACTATGATGTGGTGTTGGGTGTTCTTGAAGATTTCTACGATCGTCTTGGAGGGGTGGATGCAGAACATGTTACTCTTGAAGGGGGCCTCCGAGCCGAAGGAATCCAGATCCTTGACCAAGCGTACAGTACGTGGGGTGAACTCGCTTGGCAGGAGCTCAAGCAAGTCACATGTACCAACCCTACAGGAGTGCATGGCGGCGACCCCATGGAGTGGGGGGAGAGGCCGCTGCCCGCAGTCTTGGCCACCAAGACTCGTTCCTTCCCCCAGCCACCTCGTGCCATTGGATGGGCAGTGGGCAGGCTTACTGAAATTCAAAGTCTACTGAACCAGGGCAAGACTCCAGGGACGAACGCCTACCTAGGGACTCTGGTCATGCAGTTAGTCAATATTTCTAGGTATGGAGGCCCATTCAGATCAGCTTGGAAAGAAGGGGGTGGTTCTGGCACCCTATTCTTCGGAGTTTGGGGGTTATCCGCATGGTGGACACAGATGGGGCCCACGCTATCCTCATAGAGACGATCCAGCTTGTCAAGGATTTCAAAAACTGCGTGTTCCTGTCTGGGGACCAGCTCGATTGGGCAGGATGGAACGAGTGGTGCCAACAAGCTGTCGAGGAGCATGGGGCTCGGGAGGCTCGCAGGTTCCTCAAAGGGGTCGAAGTCCCCAAGGCCCATCCAAGGCCACCAGGTCGAGCCACGGAGGCTGAGATCAAGCACCTCCTAAACAGTATCTCTATTCGGGCCCGCTTGGAAAACCAAAGAGAGCTGTGGAAAGAAATCTGGTCGGCATCGGATCAACCACACGCCCCTTTCGAGTTTGTCCAAGGCGGAATACCAGTAGGGAAGAGTGCTCAGGTGGACACCTTCCGTGGGAATTCGCTGAGTTTCAAGGGCGCCACCTGCGCGCCAGACGGCTGGTACCCAAAGCACCTCTCGCTCCTCTGCGATGACGGCTTGCTCGCGGTGTCGCTCCTCTTCCAATTGATGCAGGCAACGTGTGTTGCTCCAAGTCAGGTGCAACGGCTTGTCGTATTGCTAGCTCCCAAGCCTGACCCCACGGCCAGGCGACCTCTTGGGCATTTTGGAGGGTTCGTCCGTGTCTTTGGGAAGATCCAGGAACAAGCTGCCAAGGACTGGGAACTTGAGTTTGGAATGGGTTCTGGCTACTCCATGGCTCCAGGAAGGCCCCCCTCGGACACCGTCTGGAGACAGGCGGTCATTGCAGAGCACCAAGGGGACTCAGGAGGTTTTTCGTTACAGGTCCTGTGGGATATCAAGCAGTTTTATGAACATGTTACCTATGATATTCTGGTCCGATCCGCCCAGTATAGCAAGTGCCCTCTGCTTCTGCTGCAGTTTGCCATAGGGACCTACCAATGGCCAAGGCATCTGATGCTGGAAGGTCTAATGGGCGCGGCGCTTTACCCAGGCCGCGGGATCGTAACTGGCTCCACAACGGCTACTTATGAGGCAAAAGTCTTCCTCAAGCCAGGTGTGGACCGATTCACCACCAATATGTCTGATAGTGCCTCCCTCTCCCTCAACGTTGATGACCTCACTCTCCAGCAGTGGGGTGACTGTATGGGGTGGGTGGTGGGAGCACTCAAGGGGTTGGCTGAATCGGTCCGTTCGTATTTAGAGAATGAGTTGCAGCTCCCGCTCGCCTACCACAAGTTTGGCATCGCTTCGTCGTCGGGTCCTCTTCTCAAACTGGGTCGAGTGGCTCTTGGGGATCTAGCTGGAGCTCCTGATGACGGGGACGTAGCGAACCTTGGCGTGGATTTCTCGGGGGGCCAACATAGACTCAGAAAGGGCGCCAGGAGGGCCAGGGCCAAGCGGTGGATCAAATACGGGGCCCGAAGGCGTAGGATGACTAGGCTCAAGATCAAGTCAGGGCACAAGAACAGAATGTTCCAGACCAATATGAAGGCCACGCTCACGTACGGGGCTGATGTCCACGCCTTCAGCCCACACCAGATCAAAGAACTCAGGGCCTCTGCTGGGGAAGATTCTGGGGTCCTATTCAAAGGGGCACAAGTGGACCTTGGATGGGCTCTATCGTCGTTCTTGGACCCGATCGACATAGCGAGTAGGAGTATAGCCAGGGTAGCTGCAGAATGGTGGATGACGACGGCCTTCCACAAGAATGATCACGTCCACAAGGATGTGCTGAAGGCCGCCCTGCTCAGCCAAGCCTCACATGCTGCCGCCCGCCGTCTTGAGGAGACGAAATGGAAAAATTGGTTCTTCCGATCCCGAGGACCAATGACATATGCCCTTCTGTGGTGTGAGGAGGCTGGTTGGAAGATGTTGAGCCCAGGGATTTTCCAGGACGCCATCGGTGACGCTCTCAACTTCACTGAGGTGAGTTCTGCGCTGGTGGCCAAAAGGTTTGCCTACCAGCTGAAAGACACTTACATCCAGAAATATGTTCGAGGTGTTTGCGAGAAAACCGATTGCGACACTCAGGACCTTGAGACTCGAGACCCGAGGACTGTGGTGGGAACTCATCAAGCAGAAGATGAACTCCACCAAGCTAGGCCTGACGCTGGTAGAAAAGCTCAGAGTGAAGCAGTTATTTTGTGGAACCCTCCCAACGGGCGAGGCCCTGGTGAGGTGGGGTTTCAATTTTGGCTCTTCGTGTAGTAGATGTGGCAAGCTCGACACTGCGTGGCACCGCGCATGGTCTTGCTCCTGCCCTATTGCGTCAGCTGTCCGAAGCGAGGTTTTCCCTGAGGCGCTAATCCAACATGCCCTGGAAGCTGGTCCTGGGTCTCTCCTATTTAGCCGTGCTTGGGTGGCCGGGCCAGGCCTGTCAAAGGGGCCCCCTGCCCAGGACTGGGTCCAGGATTTGAAGTTTTTTGGCCCTGGGGGTGAGGGCGCCCCACCGTTCGAATTCCCACCAGGGGCTGAGCTTTTTACTGATGGATCGTGTTTGTTTCCCCAGCTCAAGCCCTGCTCCAGGGCTGGTTGCTCAGTTATCCAAGTGAATGATGGTGGTGACCTGGTCAGAGGCATTAGGTCCCCTGTCCCAGGTACGATGGAACAGTCCAGTGGCTCAGCGGAGCACTGTGCCATCATGCTAGCCACCACCTACTCGGCTGACCAATGTCAGACGGGTGCTCTTTACGTAGATTACGCGACCCTCCTGAAAGCTGTGAGGGCCCACCAGTGGGCCCTGTCTGGGGCCAACCCGATGGCCCATATCTGGCGGGAAGTGGCCCGCAGGCTCCCAGGGGGCCCGCCGCGGCTCTCCAAGGTCAAGGCCCACAGGGCTGAGGAGGATGTTGCGGCTGACCAGGTTTATTTTGTGCGTGGTAATAAGCTTGCTGACCACCATGCGGGACTCGCTGCTCGGACCCATGGATTCAGCAATAATGTCTCAGAAGAGTGCATGGCCATTCCCAAACTGTACACTACCTTAATTCACGGCATGGGTAAAGTGCTAGCGGAGTGGCCTACCTTCGGGGAGTTGGGCGAGTTGGGTCGTACTCGGGTGGGTCCAAAGGCCACTCCCAAGCCGCGTACCCCTCGCGAGCCAGTCTTCCATGACGGGAAGCGAAGATGTAACCTGTGCTTCAGATATCTCGGCCGCAAAGCGGTTCCCAGCCCGAACTGTCATGGCTTGAACCCGTCGCTTGCTTGTTTTTTTGAACGGGCCAAGGAACCACCACAGCCTCCACGTGGCTTGGGTCGAGAGCTCTGGGTTGCCTGTGGTGCACTGCATTCGGTGTGGTGCATTTACCACGTGCAAAGCGGGCCCCAAATTGCGTGGACCGTGCGACGGGAAAGTTTCGTCTGAGAGTAGGAAACTCAAAAGAAGGATCCTGCCAGGAACAGGCCTGACTATTACCAATTCCGTAGCTCTCCAACCCCGAGGCCGTGAACTCAGGGAGGTGAGGAGACCTGCGTACTTTTGCTCCTGCTGTGGGTGTACTGTGCTTGTACGGTACACCACCATTTGAGTAACTGAGTAACTGAATAACTGAGGAGGAGGAGGAGGAGGAGGAGGAGGAGGAGGAGGAGGAGGAGGCACCGCTCGGACGTGCGCGCTGTTTCTCGGCCAGGCCCCCCCCCCCCGGGGAGCTTCCCTGCTCTCCGAGGCCACGAGGGCACGCGCGACTCCGAGCACGTGCACGGGGGGGTGAGGGCCGCCCGAGCGAGGCGGCGGGGCAGGTCACCAGCTTCGAACTTGTCCCTGTCCCTAAGATTGACACGCCGAAAGGAGATGACAATCTCAGGGATGCACGAAGGATTGCCAAAACCCAGGATTGCAAACAAGAAAAACAGGATTGCAACAAAAACCCTGGATTGCAAAACAAACCAAGGATTGCAACACAAAAACCCGAAGGATTGCAAACAAAACCCTGGATTGCAAAAAAAAACATGTTTTTTGCAATCATTTTTTTGCAAAGCTGAGGAAATCCCTAAGATCGTCCTCGTGCTGCGGCGACGCCCAGCACAAGGGACAGGGATGCTCCAGGCTGGCAGGGCCAGGGGGGAGGAGGCGGTGTTGGGGCAGGAGCGCCCCCCCCCCCGCCCCCCGCCGCGCGAGGATCAAGGGCTCCACCGACTTCTGCATCCAGGCGCGGCGCCGGGGGCGCCCAGCGCACGAGGAGAAGGAGGAGGAGGAGGAGGAGGAGGAGTAGGAGGAGGAGGAGGAGGAGGAGGAGGAGGGGGGGGGGGAGGAGGAGGAGGGAGGAGGAGGAGGAGGAGGAGGAGGAGGAGGAGGAGGATGGAAGAGGGAGGAGGAGGGGAGGGGGAGGAGGAGGGGGAGGAGGAGGGGGAGGAGGAGGGGGAGGAGGAGGGGAGGAGGAGAGGAGGAGGAGGGGGAGGAGGAGGAGGAGGAGGAGGAGGAGGAGGAGGAGGAGGAGGGGAGGAGGAGGAGGGGAGGAGGAGGAGGAGGAGGAGGGGGGAGGGGGAGGGGGGGAGGGGGGAGGGGGAGGAAGGAGGGGGAGGAGGAGGAGAGGAGGAAGAGGAGGAGGAGAGGAGGAGGAGGAGGAGGAGGAGGAGGAGGAGGAGGAGGGAGGAGGAGGGACTTCTCCAGGGAGGCCCCCTGCCCGCGCAAGGGCACGGGCCTGCGCGCCTGGGCGTGGAGCCTCGCGCGCCCGCGGCCGGCCCCTCGGTCGGGCCTGTGCCTCCCCTGGCCCTGCAGGGTCCTGCAAGATCGGGCGCTCTCCTCCTTCCTCGTCCTCCTCCTCCTCCTCCTCCTCCTCCTCCTCCTCCTCCTCCTCCTCCTCCTCCTCCTCCCTCCTCCTCCCCCCCCTCCCCCTCCTCCTCCCCCTCCCCCTCCTCCCCCTCCTCTCCTTTCTCCCCCCCCCTCCTCCTCCTCCTCCTCCTCCTCCTTCTCCTCGTGCGCTGGGCGCCCCCGGCGCCGCGCCTGGATCGGGCGCCCGATCCTGCAGGACCGTGCCTTGCGCGGGGGGGAAGATCCCCGAGGAATCACCCAGGGTCGTCTTGCAGTTTTCTTGGGCCACCTGGGCCGTCGTAGAGGGCCTCCTGGGCCCTCTTGGAGGCCATGCAGGGCCACAGTGGCAGGCTTGGGCGCTCTGGCTGACCCCCCTTTGCATTGACCCCCGCCTCGAGGCTCCCGACAGCACCGACAGGAGGTCCCTCCGGCGAGGCGCCGCTGATGCTGCGTGCAGCCGGCCCTCCTCCTCCTCGGAGGTTGCTGGGACCCTGGGATCCTGGCGACTCAACTTTTTCGAGCCGGGCGTCGTCGGACACTTTCGGGCTGCGGGACCTTCACAGATCGATCGGGCCCGAAAAATGGCGCAGAATGAGGGGGTCGACGGCTCTGGGCGTGATTTTTTACGATGCTGTATCTTTTTTGTGTAGCGTCCGAATTTCAGGGTCTACAGGAGGAGTATTCAGAAATAGTGGAGAAACAAACAGGGGATGATTTTTCTACTATTTTTGGGTTTTTTTTTGGAGTATGTTTCTAGCTATCTTTCAACTGTCGCCCAAACTCCGCCCGTAGGAGGACATGCCCGACCTAAGCCTACCAGAAAGCCGCGCACCAAAGGGTCACTCTTGCCAGGGGCCACTCCTGCGTGGAGTCGGGACGGGTATGCGACTCCAGTGGGTCAGAGGAGGAACACATGATTCCCTTGTTGGGCCTTCTGGGAGGCCCTCGTCGCCACCGCTGGATTCGCCTCGAAATGCTGGTCAGAACGTACCCCAGGCGAGTTCCAGGGAGTACAGTCGGAGCGCTGAAGAAGGAACCTTTTGCGTTGGGGAGGGGCTCCGTGTTCCTTCACTGTTTCACAGCTTGCCTTCGGTTTTCCTTGGGTCTTCGATGGGGCATCAAAGTTAAAATGGACAAAAAAGTGGCTTTGTTCCTTATTTAGGGTTCCTTATGTCAACGCCTCGACTGTCGCTGTAGCGGTATCGGTACCTGTTGGTCTCCTCAGTGGGTGCGGCTTGGGCCCGGCTGGCGGTCTGAGGTGGCCCAGCATTGGTGCCGTTTAGGAAGACGGGGGGGATAAACAATTGAGCATGGTTTTCGAGATTCTAACCCCATGCCGTTTGGCACATGGCTGAGATTTCGAGGACCACGCGCGAGGGGCATCGTTTGCAAAGAGGCTGGCGAAGAGAGAGAGAGAGAGAGAGAGAGAGAGAGCGGGGGAGAGAGAGAGAGAGAGAAACAAGCGAGAGAAAGAGAGAGAGAGAGATGATAGAGGAATATACGTATTCTGATCGCGATAAAGAGAACGAACACACTTTGAAACAGCACGGAAGTACTGACAACAACCATTCAAAACAGCGAGGGGCGCCACAATCCCCTGACCTCGAGTGACGAACGTGTCATCCAATCAATATCATTATCGAACCCCTTAACGATCTCACTACGAATCGAACTATCGATCTCATTTTCGATCTCATTCGATCTCGTTCGATCGATCTCACTATCGATCTCATTCAATCGATTTTACGCGATCGATCTCACTATCGATTTCACAATCGATCTCACAATCGATCACAATTCATCTCACTATCGATCTCACGTCCCTCGTCACCATCCCTTCTCACTGTCCCTCTTACCATTGGTCTCGTAATCGACCTCGGTTTCCCTCTCACTACCGATCTCACCATCGGTGCAACCGTCGATCTCGCCATCGATTTCACTGTGGATCTCACCATCGGTCTCCCTATCGATCTCACCATCGGTCTCACTACGGGATTTTCCGACACGACACGCGCGGGACGCCCATGGGAAACCCACGGGGACACCCACGGGACACCACGGGTCACAGCCAGGAGACACCGTCGGGGGACACCACGACGGGACGCCCCCCGCGGCCACCGCCGGCCAACCAAAGGGGTGGGGGAGGGGGGCGGTCCTTGGACCCTGCGGCGCCGTCGCCAGCGGAGGGTTCGTTCCGCTCGCCCGCCCCACGCAGCTCAGCTTAGCCTCGCCCGAACGCACGACGCAGACACGAAGTCGAAACCGATTTCAAGGTGGGGCTGCGATCGCTCACCCCCCCCTCACCTTCGACGAGCACGTCGGAGGCCCGCGCGGAGCTTTTGGGTCGGCGCGGTCTTGTAGGGGGGGGAGCGAGAAGCACGAGCAGGAGGAGGACGAGGAGGAGGAGGAGCGGGAGGCGGGAGGCGGGAGGCGGATGGTGGAGCGAGGGGTTGGCGGAATGAGGCCCAGGAGGAGGAATTTGCTGATGATGATGCTGATGATGATCTGCTTCTGATGACGAGGATGATGATGCTGACGATGAGCAGGATGATGATGACGATGATGATGCTGACGATGAGCAGGATGATGATGACGATGATGATGCTGACGATGATGATGATGATGATGATGATGATGATGATGATGATGATGCTGATGCTGATGCTGATGATGATGATGATGATGATGATGATGATGATGATGCTGATGATGATGATGATGATGATGATGATGATGATGATGATGATGCTGCTGAGGCTCATGTTGCTGACCATGATGCTGCTGCTGATGATGATGATGCTGATGCTGGTGCTCATGTTGCATATTGTGATGATGATGATGATGCTGATGATTTTGCTGCTGCTGATGATGCTGCTGATGCTGCTGCTGCTGCTGATGATGATGATGATGATGATAGGATGAGGATGAGGATGATGATGATGATACTGAAGATGCTGCTGATGATGATGGTGATGCTGCTGCTGATGATGATGGTGATGCTGATGATGATGATGATGATGATGATGATGATGATGATGATGATGATGCTGATGGTGATGATGATGATGATGATGATGATGATGATGATGATGATGATGATGATGATGATGATGATCATGATGTTGATGATCAGGAGGAGGAGGAGGAGGAGGAGGAGGAGGAGGAGGAGGAGGCGGCCTAAACAGAAGGGGGCAAGAGAAGCAGGAGGAGGAAGAGAAGCAGGAGGAGGAGGAGGAGGAGGAGGAGGATGAGGAGGGGGGAGGAGGAGGGCGAGGAGGAGCCCGACATTTCCCCTGCCCTGGCGGCGGGCGCCCTCCGCTCCCTCCTGGCGGCGGCCATCCGCGGTGCAACGAGGCCCCGCCGCAGTACCGCGCGCTCTGACTAGAGACTGGCAGCGGGCGGCAACATGCGTCTCATGCTGGAACGTCCTTTTCATCTACAGTCGACCCGCATAGTAAGGATTGGCAACCTTCCCAAGGGCACCCCCCTTGCATCCTTGCCTCCTCGGTCCAGCCTTGGCCGCTTTCGTTGGCCGCGCCCGCTCGAGAAGCTTAAACATTGGCGTCCAGGGCCCTCGCATCCTCATCGCGCATCCTTATGATACGGGCCGACTCCGCATCTGAGGGGCCACTGCCCCTGCGCTCTCAGTACGGCCGCCCCCCCCGCGTGTACTGCAGCGCCTCGCCTCGTCTCGCTGTCCCAACTCGATATATATATATATATATATATATATGTACACATACGGGTATAAACACACATACATATATATATATATATATACCCACGCAACTATCAAAAGCCTTCCTGCCTCGTGGCTCCACCTTCTTCTTCCTTGGTCTCGCTCGGAGGCGTCTGCGTCTTCCTCCTCGGCCTCCTCGGCGAGGGCCACCCCTCGGACCATCCTGGACCACCTGGCAACGCAAAGCACGCACACGACGCCGACAAGTAGCTGCGCGCGACTGCGAGGGGAGGCGGCACGGAGAGGAGAGGTGGCTCGTGCGGCGTCCCTGCGGCAGGAACTTGCGCCCGGTGTCCGCCGGCAGGCGCCTGCGCTGCGAGGCTGCCACTGTGCCGGGCGTGCCCGTGGCCCAGCGCTACTTGGGCGAGAGGCGTGGGCAGGACGGAGGCCGGTGGGCAAATCTGCCACCTCCGCTACCATTGGCAGGGCGGGGGAGAGGGGATGATGGGGAGGTCCCTTTCCTTTCCTTTCCTTTCCTTTCCTTTCCTTTCCTTTCCTTTCCTTTCCTCCTCCTCCTTCTTCTCCTTCAAGCTCTCCTCCTCCACCCCCAAGCCTCCGAAGCTCTCTATCAAGAAGTGAGCGAGCAGATTACAAATTAGTGTTTGCGGCCAAAGTCATGGCCAAAGTTTTGCGCGTCTTCCCTGTGGAGAGGTTCGAACGGAGCCCTTCTGGACCTAGGTTTAAGTTCCTCAGGTCTGGAGGCTGGCACCATTGGAACTCGTGGACGCGGGTCGAGCTAGGTGCCTCAGATGCCTGCAGTTTTGGAAGGACCCTGGCACCCATCCTGGGTTAGGCTGCAAGGGCCCCAGCAAGACCTGGCTTGGAGTTTTAGATTTCAGCACGGGCCACACGTTGGCTCAGACGTTTGTCTCACGCGGAGACATAGAATCGAGTTTGTTCTTTTGTACCACGTGCGGCGCTTATACGTCGCGTCGCTGTTTCAAGTTGGGTCAGGAGTGCGTTGGCCGAAAACTTTCAGGGGCCAAATCCACCCTGCCTCGCATTGTTTCAGGCCTTCACCCTCATTACAGGAACGAGGATCGAGTATCCCAGTCCTCTCGGAGGGGGGTCAATTATCTGTGTTACGCTGCCGCTACCCCTCCCCCTCCCGAAGTCGCAACGCCAGCTGCGGGAGCGGAGAGGTTTGTTCAGACGCCTGGGATGCTTGCGCTGTTGGCGCGAGTCCAGGCGCGAGAGTCTGCCGCCGCGCCTGGAGCTCACCTGGCTGCGTCCGTGCGCGGTTCGTGTTCGAACCTGCAGCCTCAGCCTGTGCCGCAGCGTGGCCGTGCAGTCGTCTCACAGCAGGAGCACGAAGAGTCGTTGCTCAGGGCACCTGACCCTGCACCTGTCTCTGTCTGATGTCTCTGCTTATGTTTCAGAAGCCTGGGGTGAACCTGACTGGCAGGTAAACCCACCCCAGGCTTGTGTGCACAATGTGTGCCGTTGCGGCATGTGCTGCATATGTGTCAGGGCTTAAATGTAGCCCCTCGGTCCTGCCCACTGGCTCGCAGAGGGAAAAAATCCTCCTCCTCCTCCTTCTCCTCCTCCTCCTCCTTCCCCCTCCTGCTCCTCCGCCTCCTTCTCCTCCTCCTCCTCCTCCTCCTCCTCTTCCTCCTCCTCCTCTTCCTCCTCCTCCTCTTCCCTCTCCTACCCAGTGTAGTGATGGTGGAAAATCGGCCCATCGGAGACTGCGAATTCGAGTTTGTTGTTGTTTTGGTCTGTTTGTGTGTGTGTGGGCGTGTCTCTGTCTGTGTCAATGTCTGTGCCTGTGTCTGTGCCTGTGTCTCTGTCTGTGTGTGTGTCTGTGTCAGTGTCTGTGTGTGTTTGTGTTTGGGTGCGTGTGTGTGTGTGTGTGTGTGTTTTGTTGGACTCTTGGGCGGCCTCCAGGGACCCAGCGGCAGAGTGCGACATTTCGCGAGGGCGGTCAACCCCTGGGGCCTTTTCCGCGCTCCTGGCCGGATGTTTACGCACCGTCTCCCTCCTGTCGCTGCTTCTCCACGTCCCTGCTCTGGCTAGCTGCGTGGATGGCCTCGCACGCCGAGTTGTGCATCGCGCTTTGGGGCACGCGCGATGCGTCCGCGTTGTGCATCGCCGAGTTGTGCATCGCGCGGTTGTTTGATAGTCCGATGCGTCGGCACGCCGAGGTGTGGTGCCCGCTGCTGCAGGCGATGGCGTGGGTTGCATGACCTGTTACCTGTGGTATCCTTCCCTTCCTTTCCGTTTTCCCCTCCATAGGGAAGATGGCCAACTTTTCTGCCCTGCGGTCCAATCCCAGCCTTTGCATTCTGGAGCTTGAGCTGCAGCGGTGCACAGTGGCAAGTAATCCCCCCCCCCTCCCCGTTGCCCCAGCGTGCAATCGCGTTCGCCCCGTACGCCGATTGCATCTGGATGGAGACCGGCAAGCCCATCCTGGCGCAGGCGCAGCAGTTCGCCCACGAGGCCGCGCGCTCATCCGCCGCTCGCCTCCCTCGCCTCCCTCGCCTCCCTCCGCTCGCTGGGTCGCGCCTCATGCCTTGA